CCGTAACTGCAGTAGAAATTGTGGCATGTCCACTATCAATCGAGTCTTCTACAGTTCCTAAATCTTTACTTTTTGTTGAAGAATTTCGGGACATAAAAGGATGGTCCAATATTGAAGACAGACTTAAACGATCTGCTGGATTTCTACGAAGTAGCTGGTGAATAAGATCCTTGGCCTCTCTTGACAAAAACGTTGGCATTTCATAATCTGCCAATACAACTTTATTTAATGTGTTCTTGACTGTGTCAGTGTCAAAAGGTGGTCTCCCAATTAGTAATGTATAAAACATGCAGCCCAAGGACCAAACATCAGATTCAAGTCCATGTGCACTTCGAGTTGCAATTTCTGGTGAAATGTAATTAGGAGTTCCACATAATGTATAGTGCTTTTCATGTGGCATTGTCAATTGAGTTGCCAGCCCAAAATCGGCAATCTTGATATTCATATTACGAGTAAGTAAGAGGTTAGAAAGTGTGAGGTCCCGGTGTAATATGCCATGAGAATGAAGATACAACATTCCTGTGATGATCTGGTGCATGAAGTGTCGAGCTGTGAGGATGCAAAAAAAGAGAACTTACAATTGAGAAGATTCAGCATTTAAAATACACTCTGAAACAGAGGCAGATATGCTAGAGTATAATATTAAATTATTAGCTTGCAGCTAGAATTTACCAAAGTGCAACTTTTGTGGTATTATAATATTAACCAATTTCTGTTAAATATACAAGGCAATAATTTTAATCTTTGCTATTCCCAATTAATGAGCAGTAAATTTCATTAACAATTGGGATTGATTAGGGAAATGATAACCAGAGTTGCCTAACAATTAAGAAAATTATTTTTAACTGTATGAACAATCCATAAATCTATACTAATTGTAAAAAAGAAAAGTTAACTTTTCTTTGTTATCTCCCAAACACTCCCAAAAAGTAGTCACATCAACAGTTTGTATATAATCTTTTGTTTCTCTGCTTGCTTATGTATATTTAAATCTATAGACATATTGTAATAAATGCTTTTTAAATGTATAGTTTTATTACATTTTATTTCTATGGCAGTACCATAGATCTATATTTTATTTAATTGCTGTTGAACATTTGGGTCACTACCACTATTTCAAGATTAAAAAAACACAACAATAAACATTTTTACACATGCTTGTTTTCTTGTGAATGTTACGGGAATTCCTCTATAGTACATTCAAGATATAGAATCACTGGACTGAAGAATAAGAAAACATACTATTTTATTATTAAAAGGCTATATTTGGGGATTGAGATTGTGGCTTAGTGGTAGAACGCTTGCCTAGCATGTGTGAGGCACTGGGTATGATTCTCAGCACCACATATAAATTAATAAATAAATAAAGGTCCATCAAAGATTACAAATTAAAAAAAAAAAGGCTATTTTCATGGAGATCCTTTAACGAGTAGGCTGTCTCAAATAAATGAGTGAAAAATGATACTTGTTATTTGGGTTAGCACCTTCATGATGACTACTGTGTTTGAGCATCTTTTCATATATTTTTTGGTTACTGGTACTTTTTCTGCCATGAGATAGTCTGCTCATATTCCCTACTATCTGATTTGATTATCTTTTTAGGTGTGTCTTTTTAAATATGAATTTCCAGTCATTCATGTGTGTGTGTGTATGTGTATATGTATGTACATATATATCACACATACACATATATAACGCATAAATATGGCTTTTGTGTGTGTGCTATTAGGGATCAAACCTATCTTTGTCTTTAAGTTTGTTAAAAGTACACAGAAGTTTTTAATTTTAATTCAAACTGATATTTTTTCCTTCATTGCTTTTGCTAGTTCTGCAGTAATCATCATCAATATGTATATGGATTTTTCAATTTGTACTACTTCTTCAGAATAAACTTCCAAAAATGGAATTTGAGTCAAAGAACATAAACATTTCTGAGTAAATATATATGACCAAATTGTGTTTCAACGGATTGAAATGCTCAAAAAGCTTATCAGAACCCATCTTTCTTAGCTCATTTACAATCCCAGTTAACAGAGGGGAAAAAAAAGAAAAAGAAAAAAGCTTAGTCTGACAATATATGGAACTTATTTGATTCTGATTTAAATTGTAAAAAATTATTTCTGAGGAACTAGGGAAGTTTGAAACTGACTTTGTATTCATAGTAAGGAATTATTCAGTGTAATAAAGACTTTGTGATTATCATTTTTTAACATCCAGATTCTGTAAAGATAAATACTCAAATATTTGTAGATAATAAGATGTTTATTAATATGCTTCAAAATATTCTAGCGAATTAGGGGATTAAAGAGTGGATAATTCTACAGTTTTTGGAAGCTGAATGATAAGTTTGAAGGGATTCACTGTACTCAGGAGATCCACGTTTTCTTTCTTTTTTGTGTGTGTGCCTGCGTGTGTGTGTGTGGTGCTGGGGATTGAACCAGGGCCTTGTGCATGCGAGGCAAGCACTTTACCAACGGAGGTATGTCCCCAGTCTGAGATCCACATTTTCTAAAACAAATGGTTTCAATGGCCGTCATCAGTGGCATTGTAAAAAGCATTCTATATTTGCAAGTTTACACAGTAAATTGCTACCAATAATTTAATTTAAAAATGTGTTTTGGGGGATAAATGACAAATTTCTTATTTTCTGCAATTCTTAAAATTGTTTTTAAGAAGTATAGCATTGTGTGTGCGGGATCCTTTTCTAGCCTAAGGTAACAACTGAAACAGTTTTATTAAATATTATAAAATAGCACATTTTTTCAAAACATTTTTGGAAAGTAAAAAAGAAGCTTACCTTCATTTTCTGAGAAAGGTTTCATTCTATTCTTTAGGTATCTGTTCATTTCACCATTATGACACATTTCTAATACCAGGTACACATAATTGTTATCTTCAAAATAGTTATATAACTGAAATGTAAAAAAGTATAATAAATTAGAATTAAAAAAATTCAGTATCCTGGGCTGCTTCTATAAAATCGTATCTTACCTCCAAGATAGAGGGATGTTTCAATTGACAATGTATTTTCACCTCATTTTGGACTCGCTGTACCATCCCAGCTTTGTACATGGCTTTTTTATCTATCTGAAAAAACAGAAAAGTTTTAAATGTTGATGGTTAAGTTTCAAATATAAATTGTTAAAAGTCATCTTTGATCAGGGTGCAGTGGCATATTCCAATTACTCAGTATACTGAGGCAGGAAGCTCGCAAGTTGAGGCCAGTCCCAAGAACTCAGTGAGACCCTGTCTCAAAAAGAAAAAAAAAGTGGGCTGGGATGTAGGTCAGTGGTAAAGCACCCCTGGGTTCAATTACTAGTGGCAAAGGAAGGAACTAAGTCACCTTTGAAAAGAAAGTATATTTTAATTTAAAATAGTTTGAAGATTTTTAATATATGTCTTTGAGATCAACTTACTCTGTTGGGTCTATTTTTTCCTCTGTTTATCTAGTAGAGTGGACACTAAGTAAATCTGTCCCATGCATTCTAGTACCCTCTGTCAATTTAAATACTTTAATAGCACAACTGTTCTATCCATAAGAAAAATCCAACTTTAGTCAAACTTTATTCCAAATTTCCTTTCCCTTTTCCAACTAGTTTAGATAAATAATTCTCAATTTGCTAATGTTTATGTTATTCCTATTAGATTAACTTCTATCAATAGAGAATTGTATTTTGGATTAATACTTATACTGTAATACAGAACTACACACAAATGTATTATTATAAAAAAATTATTTGATTTCTACACTTGACTCCAAGTATGCATAGCTGAAACACACCTGTGTACCAAACATTAATGAAGATAAAACATTTAAGCAAATTAATGCTCCCCCAAAACGTCCTTAAGCTGAACTGCTGAATTTATCCATATTGTCTTTTGCCTATATGATGTATTCTTTACACCATAATCAAAGAAAAGGTTGGTCAGTACGGAATTGTGACATCTCTAGTAGAACACCTTTAGTTATTTGCAAAGTACAGAAAAAAAAGTTGATTAATATAGTCTTACCATTTTGATTGCAACTTCCAAACCAGTGTGAATGGACTCAGCTCTGTAGACACCAGCAAATGATCCCTTACCGAGCAGATTTCCGACTTTAAAATCCTTAAAAAGTAAAATTAGATATTATGTGTGATGACTCTCAGGAGTAGAAAGGAAGAATGATACGAAGGGCCTGGAAAAATGGGATGCAAAGGGTTGAGAGGAGAATTTGGCAAAATCCAGGAAGGTATTCCACCTCGATATAGCAGGCGTCTGCAGCAGAAGGCATGGCGATGCCCTGCAGGACTCCCCAGCTTCCAGGCCGGCTAGACTGCGCACCCGGGCGACTCCACCGCAGCACAGGCTGCACCTCCTCCCGCCTCCAGCCAACACCTGGGAGCCCCGCCACAGCTCCCGCCGCGGCCAACCGCCATCCCCCGGGAGAAGGGGGAGGCGGCCTTGCTCCGGCCGGCGCGGCGGCTCCAGCGGGGTTACCACGGACGCGGCGGGGCCGGGGACGCCGCCCACCGGTGCCGCCCCCGCCCGAGCGGCGTCCAGAGGCTGGGTCCCGCCCCACCGCCGGCCAGGCGCCCGGCCCGGCCCCGCCCCAGCCGTGGGCTTCGCTCGCCCCCTTCCGATCCGCAGCCTCGGCCCGCCACTCCCTTCACCTCGATCTTCTCGCCGATGCAAGTCGCCATATTCTCAGGCCCGGGCCGGCGCTCCCCGGGTCAGGTCCCTTTTCACAGTCCCTTCGAGGTGGAGCTCCAGGCAGCCAGCCGGTCGTGGTGCCCATCAGGCTCTACCTTCTAGGCCGCCGCTCCGGGCGACGACGCTAAAGCCACCGAAGGAATTCCTCCACACCATCCGAGGCTTGGGCGGTGCCTCTGCACTCCCATTTTGAAAAACTCCCGCCGGTGGCTGTTCAAGGAGACTGGTGGTGACGTCAGGAGACGTCGCTCCGCAGAGACAGGCTGGCGCGCATGCGCGACAGGCAGTTCCCTCACGCGTGCGCGGCAGGCTCTCCTTTGCGCTCGCCGCAGCTTCCGGTACAAGAGCCGAGCGCCGGAAGCCCAGGCTGTCGCGACTGGCTGTGGAGTGCGCTGCCGTCCTGCCTGGTGAGAACCCAAGTGAGACCCGTAGAGCCGCAGGCCTTAGAGACGCGAGGTTTACTGCTGGTAAGTCCGCAGCTTCACCTCTGGAAGGGTACTGCCGCCTCCAGGGAGGGCTCAAAACTGCCGCGAGGGCGCGGGTGTGCTTCGTTGAGAAGTCTCCCTGGACGTGCGAGGCCTTGGTTTTTTCCCCCAATACCTTAAAACGAAACAAAAACCACAGGAACCATTTTAAAATCTCAGGTGTACACGCCACGGAAAAAGCACAGGAAAAAAAATCATCACCTTGATTGAGGAGAATCTCTTAGACCTCCCGGCTGACGGCAGAAGTTTCTCATAGCAGGTTAATGAGCACGGTGCTTTCGAAAAGGCATTCGAGGGAAGGACACGACTTTTGCGTTCGGGGAAACCACACGGTAGTTTATTCCGAGCCAGACAGGAGTGACCTAGGCCCGGGAACGCAGATTCCAGTTGCCTTGAAGTGTACTGAAGAAATCCAAGTTGGACACAGAGAACGAAGGTCGTCGTCCTCCGTGCACGTACCAGGGGTGCTGGGCTGAACACAGGTTAGGTCAAATGGGAAAATGGACTGCGTTCTCAGGGAGGTTGGTCAGGCTCTAGTTCTGGAATTCTGGGGAGTACCAGGGATTGAATCTGGAGATGCTTGACTACCGAGCCCCATGTCCAGCCCTTTTTTATTTTGAGACAGGGTCTCACTAAGTTGCCTAGGACCTTATTGAGTTATTGGGGCTGGTGTTGAACTTGAAATCTTCCTGCCTCAGTCTTCCCAGCTGCAGGGATTACAGGTGTGTGCCACCAGGCCCAGCAGGTTCTGTTCTTTTGCCTAATTGTCATGTCAGGGTTAAGTCAGATGCAGATGATCAGAAGTAGTGGATTTTTTTCTTAGGGGCTGAAGTAACCCTTGTCTCAAAAGCTGCCAGTGCCTTACCTCTCAGCTTGCCTTCCATTTTGTCTCTATTTGAGAGGAAATAGTTGGCAACTGGTGCTTGCTTGAAGAATTCTATCATAGTAGTTTATTGTGGAATATTTAAAAGAAACCTCTCCAGGGTAGGGTTGATGCACTGTTTGCAGATAAGACAATTATGGTTTTTTTCAGGAAGGTTCTAAAATAAATGCACAAATTTCTGTCTATTTCTAAATTGAAAGCTGTGGAGAGTGGATGAGCCCCGGGTCTCCACTGATCCTGCGGGATCATCAAAAGCCAATCCCATGAAACATTCTTCGCCAAAAAGGCAAAGATATTAATAATCTTGACCCTCAGCTCTGATGCTAACAGTGACATTCCAGGACAATGGGTTTCCTGGGTGCAGCAGGGTATTCCTCACACTTGATACTGTTTTTGAAATTAAAATTAAACAGTAGGATAGCTACAAAAATGTTTCTAGTTTTGAAACTTTTTAGTGCACAAAGAAACTTTTTTTTTTTTTTTGTGTGTGGTGTTGGGGATTGAACCCAAGGCCTTGTGCATGTGAGGCAGGCACTCTACCAACTCCCCAGCCCGCAAAGAAGCCTCTTGGTAACTTCAAATTAGAATAGACACTTTATGTACTCTTAATGACTTCCAAAAACTTCTGAGTGACATTGATTGATTACGTCCCTCTTTAAAGTTAACTACATCAAAGTTAGTTAGTTCACTATCCTCAAAGGCGAACCTCTGTCTCCTCAACAACTGACTTCAGAAGCTAAAACTGCACTGACTCAGGAACACTGTTCTTCAAGCAGCCCAGCTTACTATGGTCAATCTAAATAGATCTATTCAAGTAGTGACTTTTCCTGCTACTCATATCCCTACAGGAATTCTTAGGCAGGAAACAAAAATTATAAAATGGCTTCACCTGCTACATTCTCCTAAATCCTTAATGCCATTTTCATGATTAGTTGCTCAGTTAATTTCAAAAACTCAATGAGTACAGCAACTCTTAGGGCTAGTGCATTCCCTTATTGTAGTTCGTTTTACTACTGCACAACAAGGTTGGCTTTGACAAAATTCTGCAAGTTGACGGATTACACTTGCTAATTTTTCTGGCCAAATTGATAGCTATTTACACTTTGATAAAATTTCTATAACAACTTTTGTTTTCCCTAAAATTGTTTGCACTAAACCAATTTCTCAGGCTCTAATGGTTTTTACTGATGGGTCCAGCTCAGGGAGGCCAGATTAAAATTTTTGCCTTACAACCCTTTTCATCAGAATCTATAAATATTTACAGTGACAGTCCTTATGCAGTGGGGGCAACTCAGGTAATTGAAACAGCCACTATTGGTCATATTAACTCTGAGGTATTATTTTAGCTTTTTAAATCTTTACAAAACTCTATGCAACAATGTTAGCTTTTTTTTATTGGACATAGTTGAGCTCATTCAGGTCTCGCAGGACCTTTTGTAGAAGGAAACAATGTTATAGATCATCTTGTTGCATCAGTAGAATGTGTATCACCTTATTCCTCTCTCAGGCATCACATGCCCTACATCACCAAAATGCTTCCAGTTTGCACAAAGAATTTCACCTCTCTAGGGAGCAGGCTTGGACCACAGCTAAACAATACCCTCAATGTATTATTCACCCCCCAGTCTTATTAACTGGGATAAATGCTCGGGGCCTTAAGCCAAATCACATTTGACAGATGGAAGTTCTGCATGTACAAGAGTGTGGAAGACAACAGTAGGTACATGTGTCTGTTGACACCTATTCTATTATTTTTGCTACAGCACAAATGGGAGAAAGTGGTAAAGGTCATTAGTTATTGGCTGATTTTGCAGTCATGGGCAAACCAGTTCTTTTCAGTGCTTTTGTGTTTCTTATATTATTCATAAGATACGAATCCCATAGAATACTCAAGGACCAGGAATAGTAGAATGTGCCAATAGAATGTTAGAAATTCAACTTCAGAAACAAAAAGGGGGGGATAGGTATTATCCATCTCCACAGAATCAATTGCATCATGCTCTTTTTATTTTGAATTTCTTAAATTGTAATGAGAAGGGCTGCACTGCAGCTGAGAGACACCAAGTCTCTGGTTCAGCTTGTTCAGCAGGAATGGTATGATAGAAAGATTTACCATCAGGAAAATAGAATGGGCAGGATCCAGTAATGACGGGAAGAGGTTATGACTGTATCTTTCCAGAAGGTGCTGAGAAGCCGATTGGGTATCTGAGAGAGGAGTCATCAACATGGATCCAAAAACTGAACACGAACCCGAATCCAAAAGACTGAAGATCACACCATCAATAACGGTACCGACACAACAGCTACCTTTAAACATGCAGCCAAGCAAAGGAGGCAAGAAAAAGGAAGGAGCAACAAAAAGCACACTACGCGTAAATCCCCCGACATGGAGTCAGATCCAGAACTTGGCAAGCAAAGCTCAGGGAGTGATTGAGAAGCAGGGGGTCCCTGAGACACCAGCTACCATGTTTATGGCAATGCTGGCTGTTCTAAGTTGTCAGGTATGTATCGTAACGAGAAACTTATTGGACATATTTTCCAGGTCCTCCATTAATTAATCCCACTACCTGGGCTGGAGGATCTGTTCCAGTGTTTACAGATTAGTCTGCCATGGGGGGGTTGTCAATCTGATTTTCATATTTTCCCTCTTATTTCTTTAATTTTCTTATTCTGGGTATACTGCTGAGGTCCCTATGTCCCAGGAATCCTATGGTGGTACTTGTGTTGCCGGTTTCCAGTCCTTCTTTAGGATTTGAAAAAATATATACAAACTATTATCAAAATAGATTTTCCTAAATAAGAACTCTGACAACATCCTCTGTTCCCTTATTGCCCAAATTCCAGCACTTCAGAACTGGGAACTTTTCCTCAGTGGTGAGATTGTGCTAATTTAGTTCCTGTAAGACATATTTGCAGTCCAAGTCATATGTCCTCATAAGTTTGATTTGGAACATTCTCATAATGAACTCATGACCCCTGGAGGGTTTGTTAGTAAAATCTGACCTCAAGATCAGGAGGCATTCAGAAGAATTTATGGCATCTAGCTGCTATTTTAGATTTTGTTAATTTTACTAGTCAGTTGCTTTCACATCTAACCACTGATTGTACCACCAACTCATTTTATGGTTTGTGGTTGTGTGTTCAGTCTCTTTATGCATTATTAACAGGAAATACTAATCTCACAAAAATGGGCAGTGATCACTATTTTGTAACGAGTACTAACTGTAATCTTACTAATTGTGTGACTAATATAACAAAAATCAAGGTATTTTGGTTTTATACCAGCCTTCCTTTCTTATGCTTTCCACCAGCATCACGGATGACTGACATTAAGATAATAGGGCTAGGTTGGCATGGTGGTGCACACCTTTAAGCCCGGTGGTTTGGGAGGCTGAGGCAGGAAGATCACAAGTTCAAAGCCAGCCTTAGCAAAAACGAAGCACTTAGCAACTCAGAGAGACCCTGTCTCTAAATAAAATGCAAAATTGGGCTGGGGATTGGCTCAGTGGTCAAGTGCCCCTGAGTTCAATTCCTGGTTTACCACCACCACCACCGCCCCCCAAAAAAGATAACAGGGCTATAATTATCAAGAACTTCATAATCAGCTGATTCAATCTTCTGTGCTATGGGACTTATAGTCTTTGGTATTGTAACTTTAATTATATTGCGATTGTTTCTACAATCACTGCCTCTGACATTCTGGTACAGGATATCCAACTCATTTTGTCAATGCTTGACACAAAATACATTAAGAACCCTGTAAGATCAGGAGAATACTGATAATAAACTTAAAGCTAAGTTAAATGCTTTAAAACCTAGTGTAATAAACTTAGGTAATCACATAGTTTTAAGGTCAGAGGACAATTACAGTGCCATGTTGCTTATCAGTTTATTTATGTAATACCTGTTTTACATGTTAATTCCCAGTGGGGTTAGAAAAAATAAAGATACATCTATTAGCAATTTGAAATCATAAGTGTTAGTTTATATCTTTTACACCTACACCATTAGATCCAAGTCAAGCAAAAAAGCAAGATTCCTATGTTATCTCCTGCCAATTTTGCAAAAAAAAAAAAAACAACTGTTAAATGACTTAAATGGTTTTAATCCTTGGAATATGCTAAAACATACTACATGGTATCCTATAGGGCTTGTTTCCTTATTTTTAATTTTGTATTATTTTCTCACAGTCAAATGCAGTCTCGTCAAATCCCAGTTCCAATACCTCCAAGTAGACATGCATCAATTGCAGTTAAAAAATAAGGTGGAGATGTGGAGAGCAGATGAGCCCCTGGTTGATGTCAGCTGATCCTGTGGTGTTGGCAAAAGTCAAGTCTGGGAAACATTCCTTGCCAAAAAGGCAAGGATGCAGCAGGATGTTCCTAGCATTGCAACAGTAGGGTAACTGCAGAAATAGTTCTACTTCTGTAACTTTTTAGTGTGCAGAGAAGACTCTTGGTAACTCACAAGACTTGAACAATTTACATTGCCCCTCTAGTTAAACTTCCTAATTATGAGACCCTTTATAATAAACTTGCAAAGCTAGTTCTGGGTCACTGTTCCCCCATCAGAGTGTCCCAGTGTCCCATAGTCCCAGCTTTACTTCAGAATGTCTCTGTTTTTCTCCATCTCCCATCACCCCTACTTGAGGTCCTTTGTTGATGCTGCGTGGGTCTGGCAGAGAGCTGAGTTCTACATTAATGAATAACTCAAGTTTGTCTACAGAGAAGCTATAAGAAAAATCTCTGTTCAGAGAAAAATCAGCTTTCCCCCTTCATTTCAGGCAGTCCTTGTTATAATTCTTTTTTTTTTTTTTTAAGGTTTTTAAAGGTAGACATAATACATTTATTTATTTATTTTTATGTGGTGCTGAGGATTGAACCCGTCGGCCTACGTGTTCAAGGCTGAGCTGTAACCCCAGCCGCCATGCATTATAATTCTGGAGCAATTCTCTTTGAGTTCCCAAGAACCCAGACTTGCTTTTGCTATTGACTTGGCAGAAGTTCCTGCAAAGCATTTTTTTTAACTTTATATTTAGAAATAATTTTAATCTTATATAGTTATATAGAATTCCTGAATTGTCTCTTATTCGGATTCCCCCCCACCCTTTTTTTTTAAAATTTAGATACAGGGTCTCACTGAGTTGCTTAGTACCTCCCTGTTGATGAGGCTGGCATGATCCTCCTCCCTCAGCTTTCTGAGCTGCTGGGATTACAGGCATGCTCCATTGTGCCTGGCTAGATACATCAATTTTTAAAAAATAGTTGAAGATGAAAAAAATACCTTTAGTTTTAGGATAGAACCTAGTGCCTTACACTTGCTAAAAAAGGCGCTTTAGTATTAGAGCCCCAGCCCCAGCCCAGATTCATCAATTCTTAACATTTTGACCCATTTAACATTCTCTTTACTGCAAGCCTACTATTTATATTTATGAAATATTCTAAAATAGCTTACCCCAAATTTCTGTATGAATTACTAAAGAACAAGGATCATTTTTTTAAATAAAGATGTTTGACACTGATTATCATGTTCTGATGTCAATTATTCCAATAATGTCTGTTTTAAGCAGTTTTTCCTCTATTACAGTTTAGTACACATTGCATAAAAGTTGCCATGCCTTTAGTCTCTTTAATATGGATGGATTTCTTATAACATTGAGATGTTTCTCTTGTCACTCCAGAATTGTTATAATTTACAAATAAAATTTATATTACTCCAGTTTTGTTGTGTGACTTTATACACATTGTGAAATGATTACAGCTAAAACATCTATTGTCAGTTTCCATGTGTGTGTGGTGTGAAGGCTAATTATATAGCATTCCCTAATTGGGGTTTACCTGATGTTTCCTCATGATTAGATTGTTATTCATGTCTGATTGTAATATCACAATTTATATTCAGTTCTGTTTCATGCCTGTCCCAGTGTTATACTATTTTAACTGCAGCTTAATAGGTGTGTCAGTTTTGTCCATCTTTTCTAAGATTCATTCATTTTTTTAGCCTATTACTTCCTGATTTGGTCTTTCCTTTGGGGTTTGGTTCTAAGTATTTGGGATGCATGCTTAGGTTGTTTATTTGAAATCTATTTTGATATAGGTACTCATTGCTATATATCTCCTATTTTCCAGTATCCTACAGGTTTTGGTGTGTTTATATGCATTTTCTTTGGTTTTAAGGAATTTTCTTCTAGCACTAGGGATTGAACTCACTAGCCCACTGAGCCACATCCCCACCCTATTTTGTATTTTATTTAGAGACAGGGTCTTCCTGAGCTGCTTATTGCTTTGCTTTTGCTGGCTTTGAACTGGGATCCTCTTGTTTCAGCCTCTGGAGCTGCTGAAATTACAGGTGTGTGCCACCATGCCTGGTCAATTTTAAGGCATTTTTAAATGGTTCCAAAGTGTATGTGTAGTCTCCATATACTTGTATAATGTCCAAGTTTCTTTTGTTGAAGATTTCTAGTTTTACTCCATTATAAGCAAATCAGATAAATATTTCTTATTTTCAAATACTAAAGCACCTTTTTTAGCAAGTGTAAGGCACTAGGTTTAAAACTTTTTATGACCTATTATATATTCTATCCTAGGGGAAGTTCCGTGAGCTATTTAATGTACTACAAGTACCTTGTAGGTCCATTTGCTGTATAGCAGTGTTTAACTTTGATGTTTTTTTGTCAGGACTATTGATGAGTGAAATACCATTGTATTTGAGCCCATCTCGTCCTTTAAGTCTGTTTTAGAAAAAGTTTATAATAAACTGGGTGCTGTGAAATGAATTGATATTAACCTCTGAAGGAAACAAATTTATAATTATCTTAACCTTGTCTCTGAGGTGAAAAGTGTGTTCAGGTTAGGTGTCCATTTGCTAGTATCATTTCCCCTTTTCAGTCCTCATGTAGGAAGCATATTGTTTGATCTATTTAAAAAGCTGTTCTTTAATTGGAGAAATTATTTACATTCAAGATTATTGAAAGTTAAGGTTTATTCCTTTCATTTTGATGATTTTCTTCTGGTTATTTTGAATGTTCTGTATATTGGCTCTTCTAATGGGTTTTATACTTTCATAAGCTATCATAATGGTATTTACCTTTCAATTCTGGACCTAGGATTCCCTTTTCTTTTTAAGTTTGGTCCGGTTTTCTTGGAAAAATCTTCATTTATGTTTCGTAAGGATAGTTTTTGCTGGTTTGGAAATTGTGGATGACCACTACCTTTAATTTTTTTGGGGGGGGAGGCACTCGACCACTAAGAAACATCCCCAGCCCCATTTTATATTTTAGAGACAGGGTCTGAGTTGTTTTGCACCTTATCAAAATTTGGATTATTTCACTCCCTCCTGACATATAGGGTTTCTGTAGTTAAATGCTCTTTTAATGTAAGGGAGCTGCCCTTATGACTTTGCTTTTTTGCACACTGTGAAATTCTTTCTCTTGTAATTCCTTGAGTGGTTCCTGGCTAGTGTGGATAGACTGGAAGGTGAGGTGAAATCCTGTTTCAAAGCAAAGCTACTTTACAGATTGCATGTCCCTCACATAAGCAGGCATGAGCCAGTTGTGTTACAATAGCTAGTATTTGCCAGTGTCTCCAAGTTTGGTGGGACTCTACCTGTCTCTTCCTTGGGGAAATTCCCCCTCCCCCAGCTGTGAAGTCAGGGTGTAAGACGTCAGGGTGTAAGACGCCAGGGCAATTCATTCTCCTGTCTCAGAATCTTTTATAAGGTTCCAGTCCATCTCTGGGCTGGTTTCCTGTGTTTCCCCCATACTTACCTACCTTACAGTGCCCAATGCACACATCACTTAGCAGCCTTGTGAATGGGGGGTGGGGAGTGGGGGTGCTAGAAACCTCTATTCAATCAATGTTGAAAATACTCAGTGCATTCATTTATAATTTAGTTTCAGAATACCTTATGAAATGCTTTTTATTTTCCACGGGTTAAGATACCTTTTCTTGACATTTTGATTTCATTTTCCTTATAAATTACCTGCTCTTTTACTACTATACAGCAGTGGTTTTCATTGATGGCCTGTGGACACATTAAGGGTCACTAAGATCCTTTCAGGTATCCACAAAAACCAATCATGCCAATTTTCGACACTTGCACTGATGGTACAAAAAACAATGTTAACAATGGAAATTTTCTGGGGTCTCAGTATGATTCACAGCTATGGCACCAAACTGTAAATCTTGATCCTTTAAGACATGTCAATTTTAATATTCTATTTGACAAAATGTGAAGTTCATACAAAGAATTGCTGCATACCAATCTTTGCTTACTTTGTTAGCACTACATTTACTGAACGAACATCTGTTGGACAAACTATTTAGATTTGCATATTTGGAAGACATGAAATGAACCCAGCATGAGAACAATTATATTGTGTCCAATGATGAGAATCAGGCTTTTAAGCAAAAACCAGAAATGAAAAATTTTGACCATAATGGTGGAGATGGCAATGAATTGCTGTGGTCTGAATATCTGTTAAAGGGTCTATCACATGTAAAACTCCACTACTTTTTATACAGGTGTTAGTTGATTACAATTTTCTGCTTGTATAGAAGACAAATCAAATGTGATGGAGTTCTCATTAAAAAAGGCATTATTAGCTAATAGAAACTAAACTGTTTAAAGTATCTTACAGTAATGACTGGAGTCAGAATCATTCTGTATATAAATCATTTTAATAATGGGTGGAGAAAAGAAAAAATGAGTTGGATGCCACGTTTTGATTACTAAACCATTAACTTCATGAAAATTGTTTATCTATATTGTGATATTAAACAATAGTGGCTTCTTTCTACCAAAAGTAAAAGTTAGCCACTTGTAATATGACTGTCCTTCCAAGACACCAATCCATAAAAATTGACTTCAAGGAATATAACAACACTTTTCCTTTTTGTTAAGCTTCTGTTTGTTTTCCTGAGGTTAGAACCCAGGACCTTTAAGGTAAGTACTCTGTAACTGAGTCATGCCCCCAAGCCCTCTTATTTTCGTTTCTAATGACATTTAACATCTGCATCCTAAATGGGTTCATATTATTTTAAGAGCATTTTAACTCAAATCGTACAAAGCAAAATACTTTAAAAAAAAAAAAAAAAAAAGCACATGCATTTAATAAAAGCAGCAAAGAATGGAAGGTGTCTACTCAATTTCAGACTTGTTTTGCCATTTGTCACATCAAGGATTTTAAAGGAGAGAGATGTTGGTTATTTAAAATACACTCACAATACTGACTTATTTTGGTCCAGAACTATTTAAAACATGCTAAGGCAAGAATATGAAACATCTATATGACTATGAAAATGAAAAATGCAACTAAATTTGAGATGAAAAAATCTATATAATACGAAAGATACCACTGCTAAATTTGAGACATTATATATATAAGTTTATAACATGGATTATCAAATTAAGAGTCCAAAAATTCTTAAATGACTATTCAGGGAAACAAAAGTACTAAAATTAACTATCAAAATTATTCAGTGAAACATGCTAATTTCGATAAAATCCTAAATTTTTAAATGCCATGAAAGATGTAAAGGATAATCCAGAAGGACAAAAGTATACCTAAGAAAAACAGAACTGTTATATGTAAATGAGTCTAGAACTGGACAAGGGAATAAAACAAGGAAACAATAAAAATTAAGAATTTACATCTTAGTTTACATATCAGGTGACTAATCTAAGATGCTGAATTTCATTTGATCTTATAGGTATCAAAAGATTTTCTAAATAGTCATCCTGTGACTTAGGACAGGACATAAGTTACAGAATCCAGAGTAAAGATCATATTTTAATTTTTTTGATATGGACTCTGACTGCCTTACAGACTCAATCAAATCTTCATGATTAATTAGCTTTACTTTGATAGCTCCAAGTTTCTTAATAGTGTGTTTTGACAAATCCTGTTTTTTTTTTTTTTTTTTAATATTCATTCTAACATTATGCTGGAAGTATTCATAGGGATCCAGAAGATGAAAAAGCTATTAACCACCTGTCAGTATTGACCACTTCCATAGACATTTAGGTTTTCTTCTTTAGCAATTTTTTAACATTCTTAAAATTTCAAGTACTCTTCTATTTAATGAATATCTATACATTTCATTCCCCTAATTTATATACATCTAAAATGTATAGACAGACATTAGCAGTATTATGAATTCAAAACCATTTTGTTAGTACTCAGTATATAAAAGAATATTGATTTTAGGGCATTTTAAAACAAATAATCGTTAAATAGGTGAAATTTCTCATTTTATTTAGAGTGATGGTCTTCGAGTTGAATTAACCTTACTTTTTAGTGAAAAGAAAATCAATACGCTTCCTGGGAATTATTTCAAAATCTTGGATAAAATCATACTTTGATAAAAACCAAAGAGGGGCTGGAGTTATGGCTCAGTGGAAGAGTGCTTGCCTCATATGGGTGAAGTACTGGGTTCGATTCTCAGCACCACATACAAATAAATAAAATAAAGGTCTAACAACTAAAAGAAAAAAAAAGAGAAATGTTTAATTTGGTATTTTTTAGTCAAAAAGTCCATCTTCTGCAATGTACTGATTTAATAAGATTAGTTTGCTAAATAAACTGATCTTTATTATTATTATTATTAATAGAACTAAACTTTATAAACCTCTTTTTACTTGAAAACTCAGTGGCTTACTTTTAATTAATGCCACAAGATTTCAAATAATTATTGATATAGCACAACAATTACCTATGTCATTCATTTTTACAAAGCTAAATTCTACTTCAAAAATTTCCTTTAAAAAAAAAAAAAAACAAAAGGAAAGATTTCCCTTTCTTTTCCTTTCCTTCATTGCTGCAGTTGAAACCCAGGGGCCTTGCTTAACCACAAAATAACATTTATTATAAAAATGAATTTTAATCTAAAACTCTAAAAACCAAGAAAACTATTTTTTCTGATCATTTGAGAATGACTTCTAAATGGGGTGCCCTGGCTTCACACCTATAATCCCAGTGACTCAGGAGGCAAAGGCAGGAGGATCACAAGTTTCGGCAACTTTTAGTCAGACTCAACAAAGTTTGTGAGTAAGGGATGTAGCTCAGTGGTATAGCACCCATGGATTCCAATCCCCTGCAAAAATTACAATCACTTCTAAATCTTCTATGAAGGGGCTGGGTATGTAGCTCAGTAGTGAACACTTGTGTCTAGCACATGGAAGGCCCTGGGTTATCTCCAGCACTGCCAAAGCAAAGGAAAATTTCAAAATTATAGGCTAGTAACTGCAAAACAGAATCAAATCAATAATAGAAAAGTACATCACAATGAGATCTGCCCTGTGTAAGTTTTTTCTTTGCTGTGCTGGAGATGTCAAGGGCTTTGTGCAAGGGAAGTGCTCTACCACTGAGTTATACCTCAGCCTTATAATAGGTAAAATCAGTGGAAAGGCTTTAATTGTGGACTACCAAATTCTATTTAAAACATTTTATCATTACATTTCAAATTTATAAAAATGGAGGGATGGTTCTATCTACTTTGGGTCAAAATTAGCTAAATTCAATGCCTTTCATATGGATTTTGCAAAAATTAAAACGTGTTCATTTTGATAAAATTCTTGACCCTGTCACGATGATTACTGAGCTCCCTAATTCACTTTAAAGGCATCAAGGAAATAACCGTAATACTAAAAATGTCCTCTACCCTCACCCCAAAATCTAAGAATCTTCAGTTTGTTTTTTGGTTTTGGTCCTGGGGATTGAAACCAGGGATACTTAAATAGAGCCACATCTCCATCCCATTTTTATATTGTGTTTAGAGACAGGGTCTAAGTTGCTGAGGGTGGCTTTGAAGTCACAATCCTCCTGCCTCAACCTCCCAAGCTGCTGGGATTACAGGCCATGTGCCACCATGTCCCGGCTTCTCTTGTGTTTTTTATTTTTAAAATGTTCATTTGGTATATACAACACTCCTCTTGCTTTTTGTAGATCACTTACTACAATTTAAAAACTAGGATCTGTTATTCCAATAGCTCAATTCTGTCATCTGCATTTTGGGGGTGTTTTTTAATAAATTAAAAAGTCTATTACTAATGAAGTAAAAATATCACAAAGTTTGTTATTTCTACAACCACCTTCAATTTTATAATCATGGTACAACTTGCCTATATTAAGAGCTGGTTTCTCAGAGACAAAAAATTTGTACTATAAGGTAATCTATATCTTTATTTCCCTGCATACTTATTTGCTTACTACATGAGATAACATTGTTTTGCTATGCATCAAAATAACTTCTAAGAGAGACTTTTAGTTTGAAAAAAAATTTTTTATGATTATTGCATACTGCAATTCAGACTAAATTAGAGTGAACTATACACTATTCAAAACCATACTCTAAACACACTAATAATTATTTATCTTTTGTACTGTTATATATCCCCTTTTACAGTCATGCTTTTTCTGAAATGAATGTATATATTTCCATACAAATGAAAAGCAACTGATACGTGCTTTAAAAATATATTTCGTCACTTTAAGATATCATTTCATTTTAAAAGTATTAAAAAGAAAAATGCAGATATTAAAAACTATATTGAGACAGTATGGCTTAATGCAAAAAAGAGGACTTTTCCTGCAAAAAGGCAGAATTTAAAAATCTGCAAGATATACTACTCTGTATGTACTCTTTCAGTGGAAACTACATTGTAGAAACAAAATCTCTATCTTAGAGAACTAGTTCTGAGAAATACTGACTATCCCTAAAGATATTATAGTCTCAATTTTTACTAACTTAATACTATTTCTGTTACTACTACAAACATTAATTTTGGGATATATTTAACTTAGATTTGGGATAAAATTAGTCTTTCAAAATATCAATGTAAGTTAATCTAGTTGACTGGCATTAAGAACACAAAGGCCCATGCATTTATCTGTGCTTTCCCTTGTAGGCTGACATATGACTTCAGTCTTTTTCCATAGACAGTTTGAAGACCCTGGACAGAATTGAATGATGTGAACAAATCTGGTGATGATACTAAATTTACTGTCCCTTCTCCCATTTAATTAAGAAGCACCAAAACTGGAGCCAAGGTTTCAAAAGTTAATTTAACAGCAGGAACTATAATTTAATCACATCATATCACACTATGTAACATTATATATTTTGCCTATTGATATGTAACACAGTTAAGTTTATTACAAGCATTATTTCCTAAGTCTTATGGTACAAGTGCTCCTTTTCAGTATTACTGCTTATTTAATAGTGTTTATATTGTAACATTCAGTAAATCAATGATAATATTGTGCAATGCATTGTGCCATTTCTCCCTACCCTGTGTTAAGATATGAACAAAATCAATTAAGAAAACCAACACAACTATTAAAACTGAAATGAGGTACCAACATCACAGATGCATGTCTGAGTAGGTCAACAGCATTTTCCCCATGATGTAATTTCATCAAAAAGGCTTCTCTTTTAAGCTAGCATTATTTCAGCAGCAGCTCGTCTTCAGGACAAGTAAATCAACAGTTTCAAGTGAAAGAAGAGATTCTAAGAAAACATCAATGCACATTACTAACTAAAGAGGCAAACTGCTGGTGTCAGTTTAACATAAAATTGTGCATTTTCTCTTTCCACATGTGACTTAGTTCATTTATGTGATGACAACAAAATTGAGTTCTTGTGGTATACCAATGAGATGGACTAATTTGTTCAGAAACCTCTTATTTGTTTTAATATTTAAATTATAACAATACAATAACTAGAAAAAGGCCCGTACCCTCAGTGGCTTTAAACCACATCAACTTTTGCTTTTCAAAATTACAATGCAGTTAAATCTATGCTTCTGCAACAATAGTGCAATACGGTATCCTTTCCTGAATAAAGGAAGTGAGGTTTAGGTAGACTATTGCCAATTACATACCAATTCTGCATGTTTGATATAAACTACATCAGGAAAGCTAAAACTGACTTGTACATCTATATTCAGCTGAAGCTTCACATAAGCAGTAATGAAATGACAGGTGCACTCACTTTGCAAAACTACTTCAAAAAACAAATGACAAAGTAGTTAAGAACAATGGAACATCTGTTTTGTGTGCCAGATGTAAAAGATGAATGGACCCTGTGGTTACTTGCACTATTTGCTATTTGAATTATATGAAGGTAAAATTAAGACTTAGTCCACTTCCATCTCCCCAGATGATTTAGTATGCTGTGTGCTGTCTTTTGTTGCATCTGGTTTAGTTTCCGTTCCACTCTGTCCATCCATTGGTCCGTTATGTTCACTATTAGCTTTTGTTTTGTCTTCAGCCACTTCTACTTTGGGTTTGTAAATGATGGGGTTACAGAAATTATCTAGCTCCTAAAGACGAGAAAAAATATTTAAAATACTAAGTTACTATTAACTTTCAAAATTCTATAATTTTTCTAAAATTTCAAATTCCTAAATTTATAAGCTCAGCCACAATACCATTATTTCGACAGCTTCATGAATGATTTACTTTCTGACTAGTGAATGTTTGCGGCAATCAAACTCTAAAATGGTTTTTATATAAATTTGGTACTAGGGATTGAACTCAAGGGCACTTAACCACTGAGCTACATCCCCATCCCTTTTTAGTTTGAAACAAGGTTTCACTAAGTTGCTCAGGGTGCCTCACTAAGTTGCTGAAGCTGGCTTTGAACTTTCAGACCTCCTTTGTCAGCCTCCTACATCCCTGGAATTACAGGCATGTGCCACCAGACCTCACAAAATATTTTTGTATCTAACCTTTCTAAAACTTATTTCATAATTTAAATACCATTTACTTTGGTAGGAATAACTTTTAAATAATGGACTTAAATACACATACTAACAACACTATTTTTTGGAAATAGGTGAAGAAAAAAGCCATAAAAGTAAACTGAACATTAATTATTTAAATGAATACAAGGTGTCTTCTATCTGCTTTTTATGCATCATATTTTAGAAAATTATTACATAAGACTAATCAAATTGGAAAATCTGAAAGACTATTGTCAAAGAGATTGGTGCAGAGATACCAAGAAAGTAAAATCTTAGAATGTTTTAGTAACAAACTACTCATAGTACTCTAAAAAGTCTTCTTTATTTGACAATATCTTGAACATTATATCTAAATAGATACATCTCTGTATCTAAACCATTATGTTCAATGGCTACATAGTGTTATATAGATGCATCCATTTATTTACGTAGCAGTTCCTAGAACTGTCATTTCTAGACATGTTAAATTATATACAGGTTAAATTCCTATATAAATTTTCTGACAGCGTCCCAGGAAAGTTCTAACAAATTTAACCTAACTGCTCAGGGGAAATCATCCATCTCTCTACATCTTTGCCAACTCTTGCAAAGATTGTAAAAAAAAAAATACAACAAGGGTCTGGGGATATAGCTCAGCTGGTAGAGTGCTTGCCACCCACACACAAGGCCCTGGGTTCAATCCCAGGCACCACCACCACCACCACACACACACACACACAATAAATAAATAAGTAATATATATATATATATGCCAAAAAAGATTTGGAATTTTTAGGTTAATTGTCAGGATGAACTCTATTTCATATGTTTTTGTTTATTCTTTTATCAACTGCTAATGCAACAAACCTTTTACTAATTTCTCTATTTGGATGCTGATTTTTTAAATAAAGTTTTCCATGATAACTTTTAAAAAAATATTTATTAATTTTTTTTTAGTTTTTGGTGGACACAACATCTTTATTTTAGTTTTATGTGGTGCTGAGGATCTAACCCAGCGCCCCGTGCATGCCAGGCGAGCGTGCTACTGCTTGAGCCACATCCCCAGCTCCTCCATGATAACTTTTGACATTTAATCTGCCTAGCTTATCTCAGATCAAGCTTTTGAAAACAAGATTTTACCACAGAATTCACAAATTTCAAACTGGTTCCAAGATACCTATACTGCAATGAAGACTCAGAGGTCTCGCCGAATCTCTGAGTTTGAATTTACAGCTGTCAAAAGTCATCACACTGCTTTATTTCACTGTTTTACTCTTCAATTAAACACCAGCCCTGCATGACAAATTAATAAAAAGAACAGATATTCTATACCTAGAATCACTTAAAACAAATTTAACATAATAAGAGATTAGCCTTAAATTTATTTTTTGAGTTCTTCTGCATCTTTTTCTTTGGGTACTAAGGATGGAACCCATGAGCACTTAACCACTGAGCCAAACCCCCAGACCTCCTTTTATTTTTTTTTTTTTGAGACAGTGTCTCACTAAGTCGCTGAGGCTGGCTTATAACTTTAGAACTTCCAGCCTCAGCCTCCTGAGCTGTTGGATTACAGGGATGCATCACAATGCCTGGCTACAAATTATTTCTTGAAGTATGATTTTATTAATCAATTTCAGTCCTTGAACTCATCATTAAAAGGGAATTTGAGGCTGGGGCTATGGCTCAGCAGTGGAGCACTTGCTTAGTATGTGTGATACACTGGGTTCATTTCTCAGCACCACATACAAATAAATAAAAGTCTAACAATTAAAAAAAAAAAATTGTCTCTTACCTTAGACTTCGCAACAATTTCCGAAACTTTAACCACAGGTTCTTGAGTGAGACTTAATTTATTCTGTGCATTCATCTTAGTGTTCAGCCAAATCATGGCATCGCTGATATATTTTTCAACTTTTTCCATTTCAGCAGGATCCAAATGATCGTATCTTTCATCCTATTAAACAAGCTTTACTTAATGTTAATTTATTTTCTGGTACGCACCAGTTAATTGATAATTTCTGTTTAAAAATTTAGATTCTTGGGGCATGGGTTGTGGCTCAGTGGTAGAGCGCTCGCCTAGTGCGTGTGAGGCCCTGGGTTCGATCCTTAGCACCACATAAAAATAAATAAGGGTATTGTGCCCAACTACAATTAAAAGATAAATTTTATTTTTTAAAAATTTAGATTCTTATTGATTGCACATCTAATAAATATTCATGTGAAGAAGCCACATACAAATATAACAAAGCTAAAATGATTACAAGAAATAAAACCAGTGTGAATTTAAAAAGAAGTTTTCTGAAGAAGTCAGATTTAGAAAAGAATGATTAGTAGAGAATATTCAACAAAAAAGAAAGCACTGTAATGGAATGGAGTTAGAGAATAGGAGACATTAGGTGACAGGCACATAGAAGGCTAGACAGAAAATGCTGAACATACAGTATCATGATGCTAAGGTTCCTGAACAGGAGAATGCTACGTAATAGAGACAATCTAAGAAGTCATGGATTAGACTGATAGCTACAAAACCAGAAGTGGCAAGATAACACACAGCAAGATGATATGATTAATTACAGACTGAACTGAGAAAATCAAGGGAAAGAGAATTCAATAAACCCAAATAGGAAGACAGAGATGCCATTTTAAAGCCACCGGTTTTCTGAGACTCCAAGAAGTTCTGCTTGTAGATTACAAATCACATACCCACTATATCTGACTCAGTTTCCAGGCTGCCACGTTTTCTTGAATTTATTCATATATCATGGATCACTTAAGTTTCCTTTGCTAGTTCATCTTCATTCATCTCTCTACCTAAACGTTTCAAAATTTCTCTAGCCTGAACCTCGTTCTTGAACTCTTAAATAGGAGTCTAACTTCAATACCTACCTCTTGTTTTGAACTCCCGATTTTATCTTCATCTACTCTTTCAGTCTTCCCCAACTTCGTAAGTGGAAACATCATCCTTTCAGATAAACATCCTCGGAGGATTTTTTTACTTCTCTGATATGTTTACATCATATCTACCACAATTCTTATAAGCTCTAGTTTCCAAATAAAGTTGAAAATCGGACCACTTCTTGCCCCTGTATTATCTGTATACAAGCTTCCACCATTTCTTGCTTGTATTACTTAAACAGAGTCTTAACTTTGTCTACTTCTGAACCCTCTAAAAAGATAGGTCACTAATATGCTTGATTACCTCCAACAATTTCACATCTCTGGGCTGGCTAGGACTTTCATGATCTGGCATCCATACCTACTATTTCAAGCTCTCTACCTACTGTTTTAAGCCACACTGGCCTTCCTGCTATTTCTCCAACATGTTCTCCTCTGGGACTTTTCAGCTGCAACTAGTCCATTTTGCTAGAACATTTCTCTTCCAGTTATTATATCTTGAGCCCTCACCACTTGCAGTTCTCTTCTGCCATGTTGTGTCCCACTGGAAGTCCACCATTCTCTGACAAATCACCACCCTGACAGTGCCTTACTTTCTCCACACACTCAAGAAGACAGCCAAAGCCTAGAAAGTACTGAGCCACAGAATTTAAATCCTGGCATTTTCTGTTGTCTGCCTGTTCCTTCTTTCTTTTCCTTCTTTATACGCTATTTGTGATGTTAAGTAAATACGGAAAGTTATTTGCAGACTTATTCACAAGTAGCGTATGGCTTTTACTTTTAGGCTACCTGGATTGCAATTTCTGTTTTACAAACCTCATTGATCTCTTCTAAAACAGAATAACTTTCTACATTGTGTAACAGGTAAAATAGTATAGCTGCTGAAAATCTGTAGGCTGATACGAGACCACCTAGGTTTAATTCACAGTTCCCCATCATTTACTACTTACATAATATTCAACAAATTGCTTCAGCATTTCAGTTTGCTTATATGTAAACTGAGACAGCAGTATTAATGCTGTCAGGGATATATCCTTGTGGAAATAACATGAGGTACCCCAAGAACAGTGCTTAAAATTCACCACTGCTTGATAAATGTAAGCTCCTATATCTGAAAAGTTTCTGGTGCTGGTCTCTCCTACACAATAATGCAGTTATAACAATGATAAAAAACTGGGGGATAAAAGTGAATTATTTATTTGAAAGTAAGACCAGTAAACCTGTCCCATGGGTCAAGTTCAAGTGACTGCCTAATTTGGTGGTGGTGGTGGGTTATTGGGAATTGAAGTCAAAGACACTAGGCCATTGAACCACATCTCCAGCCCTATTTTGTATTTTATTTAGAGTTCCTTAGCGCCTTGCTGAGGCAGGCTTTGAATTCTCTATCCTACTGCCGCAGCTTCCCTATCCGCTGGGGTTACAGGTGTGTGCTACTGTGCCTGGCTAGCTATGTTTTTAATAAAAAGCTTTTTTGGGGGAACACGACCACATCCATTTGTTTACCTACTGTCCATTACTGCACTACAACAAAGAGATGAAGAGCTGTAAAGACAATATATTAAACACTGCAAAGATTCATATTTATTAATTTTCTTCTCAAAGATAAAATCTGGTAACCACTGGTTTAGAAGAGGAAAATGGTATGTTTAATTTTGTTAAATTTTTCTGTTATAGTTACATAAATTATATCTCCATTTGAATATATCTCTCAGGCCTACAAACAGTGGAAAGTTAAAGTATTACAGATTTAGTATGTATCTAAAAAGAATAAAGGGTATATATAGGGGACCAAGGATGATTAATGAACTGTGAACATGACCAAAAGCAACTGAAAAAAAAAAAAAAAAAAAAAAAGCAGCCAAAGAACAAGGTAAAGACTATGAGAGTTCAGTCTCTCATAGTCCCACGGGGGAAAAAATGTTTCCAGAAGAATCTCTTTTTCACTGTATGAAAAATATAAAAATGAAAATTGTTTTTAAAAAGAAAACAATTTGCGGGGTTAGGGTTATGGCTCAGTGGTAGAGTGCTTGCCTGTATGTACGAGGCACTGGGTTCAATCCTTGGCACCACATATAAATAAAGGAACTGTGTCCATCTACAACTAAAAAAAAAAGAGGAAGAGGCCATGTGACCATGCAAAATGATTGAAGTGATGCAGCCACAAGCTAAGGAACACCTAGTCATCAGAAGCTGGAAGAGGCAAGGAACAGATTGTCTTCCAGTGTTTTCAGAGGGACAGAAGCCCTGCTGACACCTTGATGTTGTATTTCTGGCCTGTTGAATTGTGGGAAAAAATAAGTTTGGGGCAGGAGTTGTGGCTCAGTGGTAGAATGCTTGCCTGCCATGTGTGAGGCCCTGGGTTAATTCCTCAGCACCGCATATACATAAATAAAAGATACATTGACAATTACAAAAAACCACAATAATTTGGTCACTGGATTAATGTATATAGTGGCTTGAGGAAAATCTACAAAAGCCAATGATTTTAAGTGTATCAGAATCCTCTATTAATAACTGTCTTCAATTAAAAAAAAAAGTTTTAAGTATGGTTATACAAAGTCCCTGGAAATGGACAGCAACAACTACTACAGCTCTGTGGCTGAGAAGTTTTGGACAGATCCCACCTTTCCCAGGTACACACACACACACACACCATCATTACGCATTGTACTTATGAATTCAATACCTTGTTTCTATAGGCTTCTATCACTTTCATGACAAGTTGAATCTTTTTTCCCAAGTCATTTAAAGCTTTTGGTCTCTCTTCATGTTCCATGTACCTCATTTGAATAGGCTGGCCATACTTCTATTAATAAAAGAAAAATGTTAAAAAGAACAAGAGCTTTAACATAAAATTTATTTGGCTCTTTGGAATAATATAATGGCCATATTAAAACATGTTCCCGCTATTTCCCTACAAAGAAGTACTTCCACTGGCTTTTGTTCATTGTTAAGGAAGAATGCCTAACAAGCGCCTTATTTCTTTCTCATTTATACAATTACCTCTTGATTCTTCTTTAAATCCAAAGTCCCAATCAAAACTTACCTTTTTTTTTTTCAAAGATAGGTGAGAATACTTTACAAAACTATTAGAGAAAGAAACCATAAGGACTATATTACAGTACATATAGAATTCATGGATTTTAAACTTAGTTTCAAAATTAATGTAACTCTATAACCATATAACTGTATATGCAACATGATTACTGACAGTTAATATCTGCTATCGTTTATATATGTGTGCATATTATATATATATATAAAATCATTAGATTAAAATGCATACTCTAATTTCTTTCTCTTCTAAGTGCTTCGATTTGTTTCTCAATGTTAAAACCACCTACACAAACTTTTGAGAGGGAAGCACATGAAGGACAAAAAGAACTATTTTCTCTTAAATTCTTTTATATACTAAGATAAAACTGAGAGTAGATTAACAGTAATTTCAGATTTACAGAAAAGTTAAAATAATAGAAAGCCAACCATTATCACTACTTTCCTCTAATGTAATATCTAATGGTACATTTGTCAAATCTGAAAAAAAAAATTCAACACTGACAAGTTAATATTGAACAGAATCCCAGTCTTTATCCAGATTTCACCTCTGTTCCAGGATATCATAATGCATTCAGTGAATTTAATTTTCAAAGAGGAGCAGATACTTCATTTTTAAAGGTCACCTCAAAAACAAAACTAGGGACTAGGTAATATAGCTCAGCTGGTAGAGTGCTTGCCTCACATACACAAGGCCCCGGGTTCAAGGCCCAGCACAACAACAACAACCACTACCACCACAGAAATGTGAAAAATTCTGTTAACATTCATTTCTATGGCTTCTTAATATACTTAAGGCAAAGAATCAAGGTTAAGTACTGCTAAGATTCGCAATTATGTCCACTGGCCTCGGCTGCTTGGCTTTCCCAATATTAAAAAAAAAAAGGGCCAGGTGTTGCAGCGCATTCCTGTAATCCCAGCTACTAGAGGGGTTGAGATTGGAGAAGTGCACATTGTTGGCCAGCCTCAGCACTTAGGGAGACCCTGTCTCAAAACAAAAAGTAAAAGGACCAGGATGTAGCTTAGTGGTAAAGTGTCCGGGGGCTCCACCCCAGTACTGAAAAAAAAAAAAAAAAAAAAAAAGTTAATGTACATTTCCCTTAGGGATGTGGCATGTTAAAAGAAAAAAAATCACTGAGAATATAAACTATGATAATGCTTAATTCTGCTGATATAAACAATTTTTCTAGTTGCTACTTATTCCCTTTGGAAATAATTTATTGGCATGAAAATAATTTTTGCATGATTATTAGTTTCTTTTACTTTGAAGTAACATCTTTTGTGTTTTTTTACCCTACTATCCCCAGTGCTTAAAGGGCTGTAATTTCCAAATTCTAAAATCCTTATTAATCACATCACTAGCATCTATGTGATTTCTTGCTACTCAAAGAGTGGTTCATAAACCAGCAACACCAGCATCACTTGGAGGCTTTAATGAAATGTAGAACCATGGGGCCCCTCTCATATCTACTAAATCAGAATCTGCTTTTCAGTAATAGCCTAAGTAGTACATATGCACATCAGAGTAACTCAAAGATCCACACTTCCAAGAAATGACTAAAATTTCTTTTCAACTTTCCAATAAAACGTAGAGGTATTTTTTTTTTTTTTTCTAGAATGGGGAAAGGGTTGCACAGCATAGCCAGCATGGACAAAGAGGCCAACAGTGGTCTTTCCTCAAAATCATACCAATGACTTAGGAAAGGCAGACATGGTAGCCAAGTTTAAATTTTTTTCTGAAAGGACATTCAAGAGCAGAGGTGCTATCTCTGACATCTTGGCTGCTTGGTTTTTCCATCAGCTGCACTGCAAAAATACAATAGGCCAGAGTGTTATTACTCCCCAAATCACAGAAGTGAAGGGTGATTCTTCCAATAAGTAGGAAGGGATCAAGTTGATAATTCTATCACTTCTTAAAGAGACAACTCACTAATACATAGATGCAAAAGATTAATTCTGTTCATTTTTTAAACACATTTTAGTATTATGATTATATATTATCTCAGTTACACAGCACTAGTTACTTCTCATATTTCCATAGTAAATAAATCAGCATATTGAAATGATTATCTGCATTCCCATATTGATTACATCATTATTCAGAAAAGGAAAGGGACAAAATCTATTCATGAATGGACAAAGAAATGTAATACAGTTCAGCCTTAAAAAGAAGGAAATCCAACCAGGCATGGTGGCCCACGCCTGTAATCCCAGTGGTTGGGAGGCTGAGGCAGGAGGATCACAATTTCAAAAACAGCCTCAGCAACAGAAAAGCGCTAAGCAACTCAGCAAGAACCTGTCTTAAGTAAAATACAAAATAGGGCTGGGGATGTAGCTCAGTTAGATCCTCAGTACTGGGGAGAGATCCAATCACTTGGAACAACTTGAATTAACCCAAAGGACATTACACTAAGTGAAAATAGGCTAGGGAAAAAAGACAAATACTGCATGATCTCATGGGTCCATAAAGTCCAACTCCAAAGCAGATAGTAAAATGGTGATCACCAATTGGATGGAGGGACGAATGGGGAGACGATGTTGAAAGAATGCAATATTTTAATTAGATAAAGAGATAAGCTGAAGAACACAGCTGATAACAATATTATATATCTGAAAACTATGTAGATTTTAAGTGTTATCACAAACAAAGTATGTTAAGTAATGCATCTGTCAAATCTGATTTAGTCCACTTTTTTTAAGTGTGTTAAATGAAACATATTAATATTAATTCAACCTGTTTCTTTTTACTTTTTTCCATTTTTTAAGTTAAATTTAGTTTTATTTATTCAATGTTATATTTGACAGAATACAATTCAATTCATATTACACAAATAGAACAATTTTTCATGTCTCTTGATTTAGCCATTCTAAGATATATATATATTCATATGCATATAAACATGTTGTACACCATTAAATATATAAATTTAACTAAACAAGTACATTGCCTTTATACCATAATTTTTAAGAACCAAATATTTCATTCAACCCTAATATGGAACTTCAAAATCTTTACCTTTAGTTCTTGAAGCTTATCCACATAAACTTGTTTAGGTTGGTCCTCTCCTTCTTCATAAAGCCAATTTTCTGTGTCCTCCAGTATTGAAGACAGTTTACTCATGTCCTAGTTATACATTTAAGAGAGACTGATTACAAATGCTTTCCTGATTTAAAAAAAAAGTCATCAAGGAAAGAGGATATTTTTCAGTTAAATTTATGATTTTTCTGACTCATTCATTAACATGTTTTTCACCATGCTTTAATTTGGAAAAGAATTATATTCCCGAAGGCTCAGGAAGATTGATAACAAATTTGGTACACTTATCAATATAATCCATACTGACATTTTCAGGTAAGATTTAAATAGCTCTCAAAGATTATGAAATTTAGACTTACTTCTGGAGTGATGAATTTTTCGTAGACAGTGCCCAGTCTGTCTCTAAAATCATATACATATTCTTCGACTGCATTCTTAGCATCGTTTCTTTCTTTCTCTAACTTATCCTGCATTATCATCTTCCCCTATTCAAAAAGTTTCAGATTAACTGTCGTAAGAACATACGTTAGCGCAAATCAAAACCATAATGGCACCACTTCATACCTATTAAGAGGAAAATATTTTAAGAAACTGAAAATAAGTATTCATGAACATGTGGAGAAACTGAAACCCTCACACATTAATGGTGGGAATGTAAAATGCTGCAGCCACCATGGAAACTGACAGGTTCCATAAAAAACACAACACAGAATTAGAATTTTATTCCTCCAAAGATACCCAAAGGAAATGAAAGCCGGGACTCAAAACAGTATTTGTTAATTACAATTATTCACAACAGCCAAAAAAATAAAAACAATTCAAGTGTCCATTTACAGATCCATGGATAAATGAAATGAATGTACAATCAATGGAATTATTATTCAATCTTAAAAAGGAATGAAATAGGGACTGGGGTTGTAGCTCAGTGGTAAAGCACGTGACTTGAATGTGTGAGTCACTGGGTTCAATCCTCAGCACCACATAAAAATAAATATATTTCTGTGTCCATCTACAACTAAAACAATAACATCTGGTACATGCTACAACAACATAGGTGAACACAAAAGGACAAGTACTCTATGAGTTAATTAGACCAGGTAGATTCAGATATAGAGAAAGCAGTACTGGGGAATGGGAAAAGGGAAGAAGGGAGAGTTAATCCTTAATGGTTACATAATTTCTGTTTTGAGGCAATGAAAATTTTTGAAAATTGTGGTGATGTTCATATAACATTGTGAATATAATTAATGACACTGAATTGTACATTTATAAACAGTTAATATCGGGCTGGAGTTGTGGCTCAGCGGTAGAGCAATCGCCTCACACGTGTGTGGCCCTGGGTTCGATCCTCAGTACCACATAAAAATAAATAAATAAAATGAAGGTATTGTGTCCAACTACAACTAAAATAAATAAATAGAACAGTTAATATGGCAAATTTTATGCTATATTAAAGCATAATTTTTAAAACTTCATATTGTAATATGCAAAAATCACTATATACTTTTTAAAATGTGTGAACTGTGTGCCATGTGAGTATCTTCATTTTGTTGCATATGGATTTTCAGTTTTCCCAGCATCATTCGTTGAAGAGGTTATCTTTTCTCTAATGCTTGTTTTTGGCGCCTTTGTCTAATTTAAGGTAACTGTAATTAAGTGGGTTAGTTTCTGTGTCCTCTACTCTGTACCACTCGTCTACCAATCTACTTTGATGCCAATACCACACTGGTTTTGTTACTATTGCTCTATAGTATAGACAGTTTAAGGTCTGGTATAGTGATGCCACCTGCTTCACTCTTCTTGCTAAGGATTGCTTTAGCTATTCTGGGTCTCGTATTTTTAATGAATTTCATGACTGCTTTTTCTATTTCTATGAGAAATGTCATTGGGATTGCATTAATCTGCGTAATGCTTTTGGTAGTATAGTCATTTTGACAATATTAATTCTGCCTATTCAAGAACAATGAAGATCTTCCATCTTCTAAGGTCTTCTTTAATTTCTTCGAAAGAGTTCTGTAGTTTTCGTTATAGAGGTCTTTCACCTCTTTCATTAGGTTGATTCACAAGTATTTTATGTTTTTTGAGGCTACTGTAAATGGGGTTGTTTTTATTTCCTTTCTGAGGATTTGACACTGATACAGAAATGCTTTTGATTTATGGGTGTTGACTGATTTTGTATTCCTGCTACTCTGCTGAATTTATTTACTAGTTCTAGAAATTTTCTGGTGGAATTTTTTGGGTCTTCTAAGTATAGAATCATATCGTTGGCATAAGGGGCTGGAGTTGTAGCTCAGTGTAGAGTGCTTGCCTAGCACATATGAGGCCCTGGGTTCAATCCTCAGCACAACATAAAGATAAGAAAATAAAAGTATTGTCCCCACCTCCAACTACAAAAAAATATTTTTTAAAACAATTGCTGAATAAAACATACTGTGTCATTTATATATACTCAGGTTCACACCCTAGTTTCCCTGTTTATCAGCTTGAGATCAACAAAGTCACCTAACCTCCAATTTCTGATCCTAAAATAAAGTGTGGAATTGTAACTTACTGGGATTTTAGTAAGACTGAGTAATTTATATAAAATATTTAGTACAATGCCTGGTACTGAATAAATGTGAGTCTCAGTAGGGGATACTAATTGACTGATGCTGAGATTTGGAGAGTCTGATACTCTCTGACCTTGGGCAGCTTAGTATAGATTGGCCTGAGTTTTCTCATCTACAAAATGGAAAGCTATGCTTCATATATTTGTTTTGAGGAATAATAAGATATTAAAAGTATTTAAAGTTGTTAACAAAAATTATTATAATCAAAAACTAATAATCTACAGATAACATAAACAAAATTGTCATTTTAAGAAAAATGTGGTATTTTAAACATAAGCTCTTTATAAACTACAATGCGTTGATATAAATAATTTAAAATAAAAATTAAAAACTAAGAGAAATGTCATATACGATACCTGCCAATCAATTCATTCCTTTGGGAAAATTAGCCTCCTGACATAATACAAGACCTCAAAGAATGCTTACTTCACACAAAATGTACTTTTGATGTAAGTACACAACAAAAAAAGTATTATTTAAAGTCAAAATTTCTTGTTAAAATAACGTACAGTTGATGGTAAAACAGAAGGCACTCTTGAGACTGACCTCTTAATGCCAGCCAAGCTTGAAGAAATTAGGAACCACCACTAAAAAAATGAAATAAATTACTTCTAATATAATTACTGATGAAGAAATAAAACTTGTTACCCTCAAAAGACTAGTATTAAACATGTAAGAAAATGTTAATGAAAACAGATTTTTAAAATCTATTCAACTAAAGTCAGAAAACATGACTAGAACCTTAATCTCAAAGGATATGCATTTAAAAAAATGGAGTTGCTCATAACTTCACCATGTGACATGTGCTGGTGTTTCTACTAACGACAGAACTTAAGGGGGCGAGAATCCCGAGTCTCAGAAAGGTTCTTCTCTTTAGAGGATATAGTATTATCTTTCATATAAATAAGATAAAATTATTGTAAATGATATCAATCTAGTTCAGTATTTTATCAAAAATTATGCGAATGAATGATCTGCTTAATAATTCCTCAGGTATTTTTCACTTATTTCCCAGAATTTGGAGATTACTGACTATAAAATATCAGAATATACCACCACGTTTCAAAATTCAATCAGATTTATATACCTCATTTTCAATGTAGCTGTTGAGAAGATCTTGGCCCAGCTGTCTACATAGGGTACTCTGGATAGGTAGATCAACACTCTTGACTTTTCCCTTTTTAATGGTCTGATTTAATCGTTCTTGTTTTTCTGAGGGTGCTGTCTGAAACAAAAATTTAAGAAAAGTGAAAATTTCTAAAACTAGCTTAAAAATAAATTTAAGAGTAATTTTAGAGGTGAAACAAAAATGTAAAAGTCAAACAACTACTACTATTATACTTTAAAAATAATACAATAATAAATCTGTTCTACATAACATATATTGGATCATAAAGGTAAATCTATAGTACAAACAGCTGCTACTTCACACACACTATGATGACCATCATTTAAAAAAAGTAAACAACAGGTATTGGTGAGGATGTGGAGAAATTACAATCTTCATATATTGTTAGTGAGACTGTAAAACATATAGTGATTTTTGAGAACTATGAAGCTCCTCAGAACCTTAAACACAGAGATACTGTATGACCCAGCAATTCCATTTCTGGGTATTACACCCATTCAAAAATGTGTACATGATTTTTCATTAACAGCAGTATTCATGATGGTTAAAAAAAAAAAATCAAATGTTCATCTCCTGATGAAAGGACAAATAATATGTGGTATATGTTCATCCAATGCAGTATGATTAAGTCCTTTTAAGGAATGAATTATTAACACACCCTACTAACTAGGATGAACACTGACAGCAAGCTTAGGGCAGGAAAACATCAGTAACTATATTCAGGTGAAATATCCATGAAAGACTTATCTATAGAAACTAAAACACATTGATGGTTGCCTAGGACTGGCAGAGAAAAGGTTAGGGGAATGAAGAATTAATGTTAACAATAAGTACAGCACTGTTTTGGGGGAAATGAAAATGCCCTGAAACTATGATGACAGTGGTACACCCTCCATGAATATTCCCAAAATCACTCAACTGCATACTTAAAAAGGGTGAATTGTATAGTCTGCAAACTGTATCTCAAGCTGTTAAAAGAAAAAAAGAAAAAAAAAAACCAGGTTAAACTGGAAAAGGTAGAAAAACACTTTTCAGGTTTTAAATAATTTAGAGTGTCTTGATTTAAAACCTGAGGGGCTTTACACAGGTAACCAATGCAGATTATATATTCTGTGCAATTTAGAACAATCTGTTGAAGATGATAGAATAGTTATAGCCACAATGGAACTTTCCTTTTTTAAGGTAATGACTAGATGGTAAAATAATTACTCTCAAAGAGTGGAGTAATGACCAGGCATGGTGGCACACAGCTATAATCTGAGTGGCTTAGGAGGCTGAGACAGAAGGATCTCAAGTTCAAAGCTAGCCTCAACAATTTCAGTTCTTAAGGAACTAAGACGGACCCTGTTCCTAAGTAAAATATTTCATAAAAAGGGCCGAGGATGTGGTTCAGTGATTCAGGGTTCAATCCCTGGTACCAAAAAAAAAAAAAAAAAAAAGAAGAAGAAGAAAAAAGTGGAGTAATTTATCCTTTCAAAATTTACATTTCAGGGCTGGAGATGTGGCTCAAATGGTAGCGCACTTGCCTGGCATGCGTGCGGCCCGGGTTCAATCCTCAGCACCACATACAAACAAAGATGTTATGTCTGCCGAGAACTAAAAAATAAATATTAAAAAATTCTCTCTCTCTCTTTCTCTCTTTAAAAAAAAAAAAAAAATTTACATTTCAAAATGTTTCTGCAAAAAGAAATATTCTATGCAGCAAACACTTGGAATGGTTAACTGTGAGTTGCAGAGCACTGCAAATGCAAACTTAAGTTTCCTTCATCTGACTTGTTTCACCTCAAGCTTTCTGATAATGTATGATTTAAAAAATATATATATATATATATATGTATATATTTTAGTTATACATGGGACACAATATCTTTATTTTGTTTATTTATTTTTATGGGATGCTGAGGATCAAACCCAGTGCCTCACATGTGCTAGGCAAACATTCTGCCACTGAGCCACAACACCAGCCCTACTGTATAACTTTTAATGAGAAAGTTACTGAAATATCTGTTCCGTTTTCCTGTGAAAAATACGATTACACACATATCATTAGGGCCATATTATAAAGCCTCAAATAATGAAAATTGAAATATATTCATTCTGGCTGTAAGTTTTCCATAATTTCCCATAAATCTAACATTAAAAGTATGAAGTGTATTAACCCATCAAGTCCCAAGTTTTCAATTCTGCATACAATAGTCAAGTATTATTTCAAACTTACCATTAAGTGGTATATTTATTGTTGAATTTAAAATTTTTATATATGTTCCATATCTGAGAAGATGGGACAATATGTAAACCATCATTATAAAGGAAATAATTCAAAATATCAATCTCAAAAGATAAAAGTATAGAAACAGAACAATCAAACCTTTGTTTTGGCTCCTGTATGATCAATTTCCTCTTCTGGGGTATGTTCAGCATGAACTTTTTGATGAACTCCTTCTTCTTGGTCAACCTGCATTTTATCCTGGAAAGAAAATATATAACTGATAATATATGTGGAGTCTTATTAATTTTCTTAAAAAATAAACTATTTTAGGTGGCTATGCTGCATGCCTTAATCCCAGCAATTCAGGGGGCTGAGGCAAAAGGATCTCAAGTTCAAAGGTAGCCTCAGACACTGTCTCAAAATAAAAAAAATAAAAAGGGTTGAGAATCTGGCTCAGTGGCAAAGCACCCCTGGGTTATTCCCAGTAACAAATAAATAAGAAACTACCTTAGAGCTCAAAAGCCTGTTTTGAGATGTGAGAACATGTTTCTCAAATGAGAACAAAAAACAAATCCGTTAATAAGTAAAATAAAAAGATGTATTTAATGCCATATGAACAAATCTTGTTTTGCATTCACCTGTGACCAAATAAATTGCAAAACACAACAGAAAATTGTTCTTAAACTTATAAAGATACATAAGACCTGGCTTACAAAGAAAGAGAATGTTCAAATTAACAAAAAAAATGTTTATAAGGAAGAAAATGGAAAGATAAAGTGAAAAAGATATGTAATTTATTTCACAAATTCAATCTATATATTAAAAATGTAACAAAATACTGAAGGAAACTCATTGAAACTACATAAAAGATGTCTCTGAATTATTAATTTTTTGTTTTGGTATTGGGGACTAAACCAGGGGCACCCTGACCACTGAGCTACATACCCAACCTCCAGCATTTTTTTTAATGTTCAAACAATCTTGCTAAGTTGCCGAGACTGGTGCCAAATCTGCAATTCTCCTTCCTCAGGTTCTCCCTGGGATTAACAGGTGTGTGCTATCATGTTCTAGCTAAAATATGAAATTATTATGTCTGAAAAATAAACTTTCAATCTACACCTTCTGCTCAAAATGGACTCTCCACTTGGTAAATAAGTGTAAATAACAGATTTTCCTGAGGACCCTTCTTTCACCAACATCTTTAAGAAAATTTAGAACATAGGAATCCGAATAATTTAGGTCTTCTATATCTAGAATTGAGCAAATATATAATACCCAGAAAGCTTTTTTGAATAAATGGTCACTTGTGCAAAAAAGAAAAATAGATTAGCAGACGACTCTTTGAATTAAAAGAGCAATTATTTCTGATGTTCTAAGACCTTCTTTCTAACACTAGACCCTCCCCAGATCCTGTGATGGTTGAGGTGAAAAAGTACTGAGTTGGGGCCACACAAGACACAAATATTTTATTAACGCTAACATGTTAGACAAAAATGTTGTCAACTAAGTGGTCACACTGCTTTATTGCTTAAAATTTTTACTTTGTACATATTGAAAAAAATAACCTCCTCTGTTGAGAATATTTCATCACTATCGTCATTTCATCACTATCACATAGGTAATTTACCATGCATCATCAGTTATGTCTCTTGACTATACAGAAAAAAATAATTAAGCCCAATATGGTAAATGTATTTCTAAAACTTCTTGACACTTAGACTCCAACTTTCTAAATTACTTTATCTACTTGTTAATGTTTTCCTTTGTTGTATTTTTTTGTTATTTTTTTTACAGCATCATCCTCTTTTCTGCCAAGGGCATCAGTAACACATTATTTGTTTAAAAATGGGTCTTTAGTATTTTCGTATAAGCCACTGACACATACAATGCTATTTTAGCTTACCAGAAAGTCATTATAATGGCTAAGACTTGAATGGTCCTTAGTGGTTATGATGACAGAAAGGCCAGAGGGCTGCAATCTCTTAGTCATGCTAGCAGGAATAAAAACTAAGTTCACATATATATGGCAAAGGTTCTTAGATCTATATCATGACTACTGCCAAGTCCAAAAGTGAATGTATGATGTTATCCTGCATAATGATAATTTAGTTCATGTGCATATGTGTGTATATATGTATATGAAAAAATTACATAGATGTAAAAAATTATCTTATAATTAATACAGAATGGTGGTCATTTGTAATGACTTTAAAAAGAATATTCATAGGAATATTATTAATAGTGGGAGAATTAATGGAATCTCTAGATTCTGGCTTCTGTGATTTTTAAACACCTGGGAATTGAGATCACCTTTGAGCTCCTTGCTATACATATCCAATCATGCATTTCAGGCACTCTTTTGTTATTTGCTGAATAAGTGAAAAAGCACAGCACTTAAGAATAAAATCCAGAATCACTATCATGAACTATGAGATTTTCCCCTTGATCTACCTTCTCAATTTCACTTTTTCTTGCCACTGCCCCCTTCTCTGTTCTTATATCCTATGCATCAGTTACCTTTCTATCTGTTAAAACACAAGGGTTTCCCATTTTGTGGCCTGTGTACTTGCTATTTCCTCTGCTATAAAAATACCCACTCCTTTTCTGTACAAACTGCTTTTCCATCTTCAAGGCTAGTATACCTATTCCTTCCTAGTAAACTTTCATCACTATCATAGGTAATTTTACCATGCATCCTCATTAATTTCCTTTATATTTACATGCTAGCTCATTGCTTCTTGCCTGTCCTTTACGACTAATATGTAAGTTTATAGATTGGTGAGAACCTCTTTTCTAGGTTGTTTATCAATGGGTCTGAAGCACCTAAAGAGTCTTTACTATATACAAATATTTTAATTAAAAAAGTAAATAAATAGGGTTGGGGTTGTGGCTCAGTAGTATAACGCTTGCCTTGCATATGTGAGGCATTAGGTTCGATCCTCAGTACCACATAAAAACAAATAAAACAAAAATGAAGGTATTGTGTCCATCTACAACGAAATTAAAAAATAAATAGAAAACCCAAATGGACACAAATTGGGAAATACTTAAATTGTTGTACATTAGCATGATGAACAACATACAGTTGCTCTGATTCCTGGTTCTGTTACATGGTCTAAGGTAACTTCTTAGTATGACTAGATAATGAATGTAAGGAGAGGTATCAATTTTTCTCAGATATATATAGTGTATCAATTTTTAGGAAAATCAGAGCTATCTTAATTTAAAATGGAAAAAAAAGATTCTGCTTTGAATTGGTACATATTTGGGGGGGTGGCTTTATAATGGATATTTAAGCTTTTTTTAAAAAAATTTCTAAATACAAAATTAAAGAGAAATCCCAGATAATCTTAATGCTTCTAAGAAATAAAGCACATAGGCTGTATTCTACAAAATATACTAAAATCATACCTTTATTATCATGAAGCATGAGAAAATAAACTGACGATTTATTCAACACCTATTTTATCAGCTATGGTAGGGATTTAAAAAGAGATTATATAGATAACATGTGTTCATCAATAATGCTTAATATATGATCCATAATATTAGTTACCATTCTTTCCCCCTTGAATGTATAAATCATAAAAAGAATATTTAGGAACATCTACTTAGAGATCCCTTACGAAAAATTAATTATCTTCACTAATAGACTAGGACACTTCCTCCTCCTCAATTTAAACAAGGAATATGTAATGATAGATAGTACATGGGCAACATGATGAGGGGGGATGCCACAGTCTTTATAGGAAGTACTTGGTAGAAGGCAAGAAAATCTAGGGTAGATCTTCAAATATGACTGGGAAAAAAAATCTAACAAATACCACTAAAAACAATTTGTGTAATGAAATATAATCAAGTTCCCCTAAGATTCCTTCATTTATAAGTACACTAAGAATCAATTCAGTGTAACATAACTTTTAATCTTTACTTGAATGTTATTGAATATACAGCATATTCCTTTGCAGATATCCTCTAACTAAATCCTGAAGAAGTCTATTTGTATGCATCTGTGTACAGTGCAAAATTGATTTTGAATTGGTTTTATCTGTACATACCTAGCCACAGCAAGTTATACTTTTAATGGAAATGAAGTACTTATAAAAAATAATTTCAAACTCACATGCTCTACCTTAATGTTATGAAAGATGCACAAATCTCCTGAAAAGTGTATTACAATGTCAAAAATATGTATCATTTAAATAGAAATCTAAGTTTTTCACTGACCATAGCAGAAATTCAAAACAAAATATCAGAAATTAATGTATTCAACCATCAGAATAGCATTTATAATTAAGATATTGTATGTATTATCATGGAAATCTTGAGACAGAATTTCTACATACCACATCATCTTTATTTTCATTCTTAAATGTAGCTTCTGTTTCCATAGGAGAATCACTGTGATCCCCTTCCACATTCTGCTTCTCAATTACTGATGCACTAGCCACACTGAAGATTCCATGGATGTTAACCCGAACTTTAACTTTCACTTTGGAACTATCACCATCAGACTGTGGAAAAACATTCTGAATAGTGAAGCTCCCTTAAGGAAAAAAGAGCTTTGATCAGTACATGAGTTTCAGATAGGGCCTCAGCATATGCTAGACAAGCCGTCGACCTGAGCTACTCCTCAAGCAACCTTTCATTCAATTCTTTATTCACTAATTTTACTACTATCTTTAAGGTCTTGTCAAACAATTATATACTAATTACTAAGGGGCAGGTGCTTTCCCCATTACTACCTTCTTTATATCATAACAAACCTGATATTAAGACTGAAAAAGATTTACTTGCTCAAGATAATCAATGGTAGAAAAAGAGTTGCTATTTTAACCTGGGAAAATTTAATTCAAAGGCAATATTTAACTTCTCAATACATTTTAACACTTGTACTCTGAAGCCATTAAACTAAATCCAATTTCTGAGTCTGAAAACAAATTATTACCCTTTTATTTGGTGGGGGGAGGGGGAGGTAACTGGGGATTGAACTCATGGGGACTTGACTACTGAGTCACATCCCCAGCCCTATTTCCCTATTTTGTATTTTGACAGGGTCTCACTAAATTTCTTAGGTTCTTGCTTTTTGCCGAGACTGGCTTTGAACTTGTGATCCTTCTGCCTCACCTCTCAAGCTGCCAGATTATAAGTGTGCGCTAGCAAGCCTAGTATACATTACCTCTTAACTATTGAGTTTTATAAATCATAATCAACCTGGTTAATTCATAAAGCAATTCCACTTTTTTTGTATTTTTCCTGTAACAAAATTAATGATACACACACTACAAGAGAGAATATCAGGCAAAAAAAAATGGATGGCAAAAAAATCTAGATAACCTTTTGATGAGTTGCGTTGTATCCTAACATTCATAAGTTGTAGTTCTAACCATCTTAGTACCTCAGAACACAACTGTGTTTATTTGGAGATAGGGATTTTAAAGAGGTCATTAAAATGGATGTCATTAATCCAGTATGAGCAGTGCCCTTATGAAAAGGAGAAATTTGGAAACACACACATACACATATGTGAGAAGACGTGATATCAATATGAAGAAGGTCATCTACCAATAAAGGAGATGGGCCTGGAACAGATCCTTTCTTTACAGCCCTCAGAAGGGACCACAACTGCGGATACCTTGTTTTCAGACTTTCATTTCCACAACTGGGATAATGAATTCGTATTGTTCTAGCCATCTATTTTGCAGAACTTATTATAGCAGTGTAACAAACTAATACAACACTCAATAGTTTGTACGCTTTAAATGACATATATGAAATAAGCTATAGTTTCTCTTTTAGTTATCAATATAGAAAAACTTAAAAACTTAATTATTCCTTCTCTTTGAAATGCTATTAAATTGCATTTTTATACTATCTGAAGAGATTACACAATGAAAATAGATATTTTCATATCTTCCCACTTTCATGTTAATCTAATAATATTCATTGTAGTTGTTGCCAGTAAAGTTTAAAATCAGAATATAAATTCAGTCTAGCAGCACAACTTCAATTTCATTGAAAAGTTTTTCAATGAAAAGTAACCTTCACACAATGTTTGCAGGCCAATAAGTCAAAATGAATTAAGAATACTCAAACCTGCTGTCATCTTAGAAATAAACCGAGCACTAAAGTGCCTATTTAGAAAAAAGTACAAATATCTTTAAAAATCCAGAGCTGGTTTAGCTGAAACATCCATTTGTTTCTTTGATTCCACATTATTTATAAAAGGCCAAAAATTCATGGAAAAAATATTTTGAGTTCTCTTACCAATTCTTGGATCAGGATAAGGCACTTCATGCAAATTAGTATAAAATGCTTCTAGATCAAATGGTTCCTTCTTGTGAAAAGTAATGACTTTTGAGAATGGGGCAGGATGGTTCTTACAAAATACTTCACATTCCCTAAAATACAGTGGGAAAGACATTTAGAAAACAAAAAGTGTGCCTATTAACCTAATTACAGATCCATTTCATTCTTAATTCACATGCAGCAACTCCAAGGATCTCTATGAAAAAGGTTAAAAAACTACTTTGCTTATTACAAACATGAATTTTGACAAGTTTTCAGAATGTCTGCCATAAAAGGACAATTATATACTACTAAAAGGAAGAATTACCTGAATAACTATTTTCCTGAGAATATGCATATTTTAGGTTAAAGATGTAGGGATTATAGGTTTTCTTCTTCTGATTGATATTTGAGGATCAAGCCTTGCCCACTGACTTCCAAAATACTTACCATATGAAACCCTTCTTATTCCTGTTCCCTTAAGGAAACAAACGAACAAAAACAACAACAAAAAAGAAACAAAAAAAAAAAAAAAAAACAAAAAAACCCTTTTATTTGGAAATAAACTCAAAGAAGGATGCAAAAACAGAAGAATGGTCAATGAATACTGCATATCCTTTACCTAGATTAGGTACTGTTAACATTTTACCCCTTTGTCTTATAATTATGAGTGAGTGTACACACTCTCTCCTTGGGCATTTTCTCCTCAACAAGAGTGATATCTGCTATGAATGTATACTTAGCAGGTATATTTCTCTGTTGATTCTATCATCCAAATCCCAGTTTTCTCAACTGGTGTAATATTGTCCTTTTAAGTATTTTCTACCTCCCTCTCCAAATACATGAAGGTTTTTTGTTTGTTTGGTACTAGGGACTGAACCCAGGAGCACAATACCACTGAGCTAAATCCCCAGCCCTTTTTTTATTTTGAGACAGGATCTCACTAAGTTGCTTAGGGCCTTGTAAGTTGCTGAGGCTATCCCTGAACTTGCCATCTTCCTGCCTCAGTCTCCAGAGAAACTGGGATTACAGGCATGCATCACCACACCTGACCAGGAAGTTTTTTTTTTGACCAAAAAATTGTAAAATCCACACAACAATTCCCATTCCTTAAATGAGGTTTAAGACTATCCTTTATAGTAGCCCAGAAACTCACTTTTTAAAACTATGATAATCCTAATACCTTACTTATACAAACTTTGAAAAACTCCAATTTATATAACTTTCCATCCTTGTTTTCAAGTACCTACCAATATCTTTTTTCTTACTGTACTTATTTGGATACATTTACTTTCTAATTTAGCTCCCTATGCTTTTCTTATAATTTTCTTCCTAGATAACTTATAACTTTAAATGATATTAAATTTTACAGAATACTTCTTGCTTTGAAACTGATGTCAAAACAAAGTCATTCAAATATCTTGCAAGTTATAATCCTCCAGTGTGTATACTCTGGCTCAACAATTCTCCTCCTACTGCTATTTTTCAGATATTCCAAACTGGACAAGGATATGTGTGCAAAGCTAATATAAGTGCTTGAAATATAGCAGAAATGTGACTTAATGTAGTGTTTTGGTTCAATTTATTAACTACTGAAGAATTATTTTCTGTTCAGATGGAAAGGTACCTTTTTCTTTTTTTAAGAAACAAGCTGCACTACAGATGTTCAGGTGATCTTATGTGTACTAAATAGAAGCATGTTTTTATTTGTGGATATTCGAAGAAAAGACCTGGGACAGCTCTTTTCTTATTATTAAAGATGGTTACACCTATAAAATGGGGTAAGGGACTTAGGTTACAGGAAATTCAAGTTTTTTAACATTTTTAGATTCTGATTTTCATTTGTTAAGTCAGCATTATAATAAGATATGAATAATAAAATTGATATGCACATATGCCCACATGGCTTACAAGTTACATCATTCTTACATTCACTTTTTTTTTTTTACCACTTTGAAAGCTTTAACACAATTTTAAGAAGTAGACTTAATCCTCTAATTTAGAAAAAGTAGGTTATAAAGATTTGGGATAAGCTCTTAAAAAAAAAAAAAAAAAAAACTTACCCAGTTCCGTCTTCAAAAGAGGTCTTCCATCTTAATGTAATTGAATAGGGAACCAGGTCTGTTATAGAAAATTCACGCACTTTGAATGCTGGTGACAGAATTGCACACTGAAATAACAAGTATACCATACTTATATCAGTAAATACATAGCAAGAGTTATCCCTGATTGAACTGCCTAATAAAATCCTTATAGTAAAACTGTTATTGAACACTAAAAAATCTCCACAAGGAATTTTAAATGGGCATAGTTCCAAGAATCTATAAAATCAGCATTCTTTCAGTGTAATTACAGGCATATTAATCTTAGAGCTCAACAATATGAATGAGAACGACAGAAACTTATTAGGAATAATTCCAATGACTTTAGGCTGTTATGTAGTTGGAATACATTATATTAAAAAGGCCCCCTTTTCAGACATAAGACCCATGTTTGCAAAATTCACATTCTGGAATAAAATAACCAACCTGCAATGCACATCCTCTTGCAACAGCTTCATCAGCATTTAGGGTGGTGCTGATGTCCTTAAGGAAGAACTTCGTGATCTGTTCCTTCACTGCAGGAATCCGTGTTGCTCCTCCTACAATTTCTATACTACTTATGTCTTCCCGTTGTAAGTCTGGAAATAAGATGTGTTTCAATGAGCAAAGTAAGATAGCCTTCAAAATTTGCTAATAGATGGCACTGGAAAGTAGATTTTAAAAGGTAAATATTTTACTATGCTCAAAAGAAGATAAAATAGCAGATGTAAACAACTGAAGGCAGAATTAATGTATGTTATCTATGTCATATATACCAGACTTGGTCCAGATGATGGAGTCATCATAGGACAGAAAAGCTCCTCTTATATTTTAAATGTAGTCAGCCTCCTTTCAATTTTCTCACTTTCACCATACAAACTTCTGTAGGAGGTTTCATTCTGGTTTGTTTTGTTTTGGATACTGGGAATTGAACTCAGGAGGCATTCCACCTTTGAGTTACATCCTTAATTCTTTTAATTTTGAGACAGGGTATTATTGACTTTCCCAGGCCGGCCTTGAATTTGCTTGTTTCTGCCTTGGCCTCTGAAGTACCTGGGATTACATGTGTGCACCACCACACCCAGCTAAATTATGATTGTGTGTGTGAGCATGCACTCACATGAGTGGTACTGGAGACTGAATTGAAGTTCCCTATATGCCAGGCAAGTGTTCTACCACTGAGCTACATTCCCAGTATCCTCTATAGAAGGTTTTTTCCCTTTTCTTTTTTATTAGAGCTTTATTGTTATACATAGTAGTTGGGTCCATCCTGTTCAAACTCATAGTTACATGGAAATCAGTTTCAGTTCATGATTCCTCCCTTTTTCCCTGCCATTCTCAATCCCCTCTTGCATTCTCCTTCCTCTACTAGACTTATTGAAGGTATTTTTAATTGCCCACCAAAATTAAATAAATAAAAGTAATCATATCCCCATGATTTAATTAATAATTAAAGTTAAATGGGCAATTTAAAAATCTTCTATATATACTCACATCTCCAAACAGAACATTGGCTTTATGATGTAAACAATCAAAGGATCAAGGATATATTTTCATAAACTCAGAATTCTAGTGTCCTATCTTATGACTAAAGAATGAGTAATTTAATCTAAAATGAGAAATACAAGTCTTCTAAAGAAAGTGAAGTTTTTATTTGCTTTTACCACATGCTACAGTTTTGACAGTAAAACAATTTCCACTTACTAGCTTGTTCCATAACTGCTTTTAAAGGTGGTTCAACCCTGGCAAAGAGGGAAGCACACAATTGTTCAAATTGAGCCCTGTGAGAAAATACAACAAAACTCATTATATTTGGATAAAAAGTTAAGCATACCTTCTAAAATAACAATTAAAAAATCAAATGTGACTGGACAAGGTGGCACTCGCCTATAATCCCAACAGCTTGGGATGCTAAGGTGGAGGATCATCAGTTCAAAGCCAGCCTTAGCAAAAGAGAGATGCTACCAAACTTGATAAGACCCTCTCTCTAAATTAAATACAAAATAGGGCTGGGGAAGTGACTCAGTGATCCAGTGCCCCTGAGTTCAATTCTGGCACAACCCCCTGTCTCCCCAAATCTGATGTGATCTGAACATAATAAGGAAACAATTTTCAAATTGAAAAATACATGGTACCTGTTCATTTTACTAGAAACATCAAGGTCATTCATGAAACACTCAATGTTTAGTGGAAGATCGGATGCATTTGCACTCATTAGCTTCTTGAGTTTTTCGCATTCCTGATACAAACGTAACAAGGCCCGAGAGTTTTCTTTTACATTTATCTTATATTTGGTCTTGAACTCATCGCAGAAGTAGTCTACTAAGGCCTCATCAAAGTTCCTGCCACCCAAATATGGGTCAAAGGTAGTAGCCAAGACCTGTTTAATTAAAAAAGCAAAACTAAATTTTGAGAAATAGATTCTTTAAAGAAAAAAATGAGAAAAGAAAAATCTCTAAAATTATAACAAAACAAAGTTAAAGAACTTATCAAAAAAGTTAGATCCATACCATAATAATTCTGAAATAACTGATTACACATAAAATTTCATTACCTCACATCCTTTGATTTTACAATAATACTGAACCAAAAAATCAACTTTGAGAGGAAAAGTTCTAAGCATATATACAAGAACAAAACACCCAAAAAAATGAAAATCCAAAGATACTCAAATATAATTGGTCAGTTAACAGGTCAGGATTTAGGCATTTAAAAAAAATTAAATTAAAAAACATATTTTTCCAACATAAGAATATAAGAACCTAAGAATACTTTAGAGAGCAAATAAGTAAGCAGAAACAAAATTTTGAAAAGTTTCATGAGCAACAGGCTCCCAGATAGTTTTGTGGAAGGGATGAGCCACAGAACTTCAACCCCACAGAACCCTCCCCCCACCCGCCCCAGGGTAAAATAAGTACACACATAGAGATAATACTAAAAGTGAAACCCACTGTTGGGGATTAAGCTCTTTCTTCACAAGAGCGGGTGAAGGCGGAATGGGAACATCACAAAAGGATGTGAGCATCATCTGAGAGTGATGTCTAATCAACAAACTAGCATGGAAAATTCATGTGCAGACTGCTTATGAAGTCCAGTGTTATGCAAAATTATCTTGGTACGTAACCAGAACAAGCATGCATTCTTCTGGAAAGAAGGGTTGTGGTCTTCAAAAAGCTCTCTGATCTTCAAATTATAGTTCACTATACTCTAAGGTAACTAAGAGAAAAGCTTAGGAAAGAAAGAAAATGCTTTTTAAATTAAGTTAAAATTTAAGGTTAAAGGTCAAGAATTAAACCAATTCACATAAAAAACAACTCCATTATTTGGCATGAGTCATTTATTTTCCTTTAATTTGTGGATTATAAGGGATGTTGTTATAGTACTATATACTGCAGGATAAAAGGCTCTTTCAGAGTTGGATAAACAAAAGCACTTTATCTTCCAAGTACACTACTCACATGCATAACGGAGAGAACTTGCCTAAATCTGGACAAATAGTCAACATGAAAACAAATATTAAACCAAATATAGATTATAAAAACATGAGGTTAATAATGCTATATTATAGAATATAACTATAAGGACTCCCAGATAGAAAGTTTTCTAAAAACAATGTGAATTATTTTAGAAAGTAGTTCCTGTAAGTTTATTTACGGATACTTTATGTTCCCAGATAGCAGATTTAACACCTTAACAAGAAAGTAATAATGATAAAAATAGCTAACACATATAGCTTCTGCTATATGCCAGGCTTCCAAGCCTTTCCTATGTGTTAACTCGCTCTATTCTCAAAAATTCTAGGAGGCAGTTACTGATATTATCCCTTAGACAAAGAAACTAAAGTTTAGAAAGGTTAAGGTCACAGTTTTTAAAGGGCAGAGCCAAGATTTAATAAGCCCAGTCATTAAAGTTCTCTATATAGTCTGTGCTCTTAATAATAAGTTAATACAGCAAATCATTTATTTACTTACTTTAAGTTTTCCTTTGTTAAAAGCACAAACCGAGACCTGATAGGCAGAATGTCCCATATCAATAAATACTACATTTCTTGGTTTCTCATCTAACGGGGGAAGATCCTGTTTATAAATTCCATATGCTAGTGCAACTGTGTAAGAACAAAGAATTGGGTTAATTCTAGTATTGCAATTACTTGGAAAACATGAGATAAGTCACTCACTGTACTTTAATACACAGTACAGTAATATATACTATTAGTTTCAAAGTTAAATTTTTCCCTATTATCTACAACCGTATAATAATCATATCTAATCTAAAGCAATTAAAACAAATTTAACCTCTGCCAAAATGTAATATTCCAAAGCAACTGGCTTATAAGAATCAGCATATTACAAAAAAGAAAAATGTTGTTACTCATTGGAAAAAACACTGTTTAACAGTATTTTCTTACAGTGACTTTCAAATTACAGAGTGTGTGCTTACCTGCAGTAGTTTCATTCATCAACCTTAAACAATTTAAGCCTGCAACCTGAGCTGCAGCCATCACAGATCTTCTCTCAGCATCAGTGAAAAAGCTAGGAATCTGATATTTAAAAACAATAATCAAGTATATCAGTTTGATGTAATAGATTTTATTATTTGAAAATGTAAACATTAAACTTGAGTGTAATTTAAGACAAAGTGTATTAATTAAATAAATGAGGAAGAATACTAGTGCTAGTTTTTTTAAGTTTGACCATTTCTGTACCATAAAGATTTGACTTAACATGAATACTAATTTAAAAGTAATTAGTAACATGGCAGGACTGCCAAAATTCTATTAATTTAAACACTGCCATGTTAGTCTAGCTGCTATGATTTGGGTGTTGCTTGTCCCCAAAAGGTCCATGTGTTGGAAACTCAGTTCTCACTGTGGACCTTTAAAGAGGTGGAGCCTAGTGGGATCCTTAGGTCAATGAGGGGACACGCTCTAGGAAGGAACTGTGGGACCCAATCTCTTTGGCTTCCAGTTTAGCAATGTGAGCCTGCCTTCCACAAACACTCCTGCCAAGACACTGTTAGGCACTCTAATTAGAGGCCAAACTAATGTGGCCACCTCATTATAGACTTTTAGCCTAAGATATCTGTTTTCTTTATCAAGTTAGTCTGGCTGAGGTATCCTGATAAAGTAACGAAAAACAGACCAATACACTCAACTATTAAAACAATGTTTGTTCATCTTTAATAAATGAAAAATTGAAAACTCAAAAGATTGCTAAAATTAAGTTCAACATATGTCTCTATACCAGAATCTTATGCAGAAACAGATTTGCACAGTCATGGTGTATCATTACTGCATTTAAAAGGCGGGTGTGTGTGTGTGTGTGTGTGCAGGCGGGGCATACATATAGCACAATTTCATTTGTGTGTGTGTTTGTGTGCACATGCATAACTTAAAGAATAAAAATCCTAATTAAAACAAATTTTAAAAAGAATAAAATTTCCATAGTTTAAAATGATCTTACTTCCAAGGAGAGGAATTACATATTATGACAAAGTTATGATGAACATATATATTTCTTTTACAATAACCAAGAAACAAATATATTTCTACTAAAAATTAAATTCAGGCTTAAAGCTTATAAAGATTTATATATTTTTACTTCTGTCAAAACTAAGAAGGACTTTTAGCTCACGAATTTCTAAAAGGCTATTTAAGTATATTCATGTACAAAATAATTGGGGCCCATCAAATTTTATCATTTTTTGAATTTACAAATTTCATTTAACTGATTTTAGAACTCATGCTGCAACATCCCATACACAGGACACTTATAAAAACATAATAGGTTAACAAAAGGAAAGACCCTGAATTTTGTTTGAAAAGCTGACTTACCCTGATTTGCTATTGACAAAAATACAAATCATAGTGTATGATTCATTTAATATTCATTTACTTGCCTATGTAGAGCTCACATTGCATTTACTATACTAACCACAAAGTTAAGCATAAGTTTGTATTACTTTGTTCTGACATGAAAGTAAAAGTACAGTGAAATTAAGAAGGAATTTGAAGTTAAGATGGATTTTTTAAAAAATGTGCACCATTCTGATATATACATTCAAGAGACAATAAATATTAACTAAAGAGTTGTAAGTATTGGCTTAGGAATTAACTATCCCTACACCTCAATTTTTATTAAACACAAAAAAACAACTTTTTTCTTTGGCAATACTGGGACTGAATCCAGGGGTACTAACTATATCACTGAGCTACACCCCCAGCCCTTTTTCATTTATTTTGAGACACAGTCTGATGAAGTTGCCAAGGCTGGCCTCAAACTTACAATCCTCTGCCACTGGGATGATGACAGGCATGCACCACCTTGCCTTAGTTGCCTTGCATTTTTTTTTTAATGTTTATTTTTAGGCATAAAATTGGGATGAATAATATCTACTTCAAAGTGTGTTTCCGACAAAAAGGTTAATGTACATAAAATGTTTAAAATAGCAAAAATCAAACAATAGTAATCTCTTTTATTTACCAGTTTTAAATGGCTAGAAAATGAATATTAAACTCTAATGTTTTTCTCTCATAAAAATTTCCAAATGCTGTTGAAAAAGATTTATATAAGATTTATATAAGATTTATATATATTTTAGTAATATTCACATTTGGGTGAAAAAATGTAAACTGAAAACCAACTACATTCAATGGGGTCTCAAGAGCGAAGCTAAGGTAAACAATTATATTTATTGTTTAGAATACTTAAAAGAGACCAATAGGTTAGAAGGGGGCGGGGTTCTGGCAAAGATGAGGGTAAGGGGAGGTTTGTGAGGAGGAAAATTGACCAAATGATATGCATGTACCAATAAGCCATAACAAAACCAACCATCCTGTACAAAATGTACGAATTTTTAAAAAGCACATGAGATTAAAAAAAAGTCCTTCAAGAAAGATCTTTCCAGCTGGGCACAATGGTACATGCCTGTAATCTCAGCAACCTGGAAGACAAAGGAAGGAGGATCACAAGTTCAAGGCCAGCCTTAGCAACTCAGCAAGATCCTGTCTTACAATTGAAAAAAAGGTGGGGATGTGGCTCAATGGTTACATGTCCTTGAGTTCAATCCCCAATACCAAAACAACAATAAAAACAAAAACAAAAACAACCTTACATTCACATAATATACACAATTTCAGATTCCCAACTGGGATTTGCAACCTATGCCATAAAACATTAAGGTCCTCAGACATGGAAGTTAGGTGTTATTTGGGAAAAGTCTTTAAGTGGTACCAGTAATGCATACCTTAGTATTTGGGGCACAAGATTGAACCCAGGGGTGCGTCAACATCCCCAGTCCTTTAAAAAAAAAATTTTGTATATTTTGAGACTGGGTCTCCTTACGTTGCTGAGACTGGCCTCAAACTTGAAATGCTTCTGCCTTGGCCTCCTGAGTTGCTGGAATTCACATACATTAATTTTAAGTTTCCCTGATAATTACAAGTGACATATTATGTTAAGTTCAATCTAGAGCTTTAGCAAATAATTTTTTTTTTTTTAATGGAAAGTCAAAATGAACTTAAGGTTATTTTCTGGATAAGGGATGAAAAGTATAAAGGGGAAAAACATTTCTATCATTAATGGATTAACATTTCTTGTGAAAATATGATTTACTGAAGTAAAACTTACTGAAATCACACAGTCAGCCACTGGTTTCTTCAGGGCATTTTCTGAAGTTTCTTTAAGCTTGGCCAACAGCATTCCAGTAACTTGCTCAATTGCAAAAGGTCTGTCTTCTTCTAGATACCGCACCTTAAACCAAAAGTTGAGTTATTTGAGTCATTTATTTATCCAAATAAATACCTTGTGAACGAACATCTATTCTATATGTGACATACAACAGTAAAAAAGATAAAAAGTCCTGGGCTTAAGAAAGTTTTATTCCAAAAAGACTGTCACTCTGAAATCATGACTTCATTAAAAACAGTACCATCTCATTTCTGAGGTCCTACTATTTCAACACATACAATTACATCCTAGTAGATTATTTTCAAGTGGCCCTACTGTCTTACATCCTCCACCTCGCCCCAAGCAATTTTTATTTTTACTATATCATATTTTCTAAGCATGTTAAAGAACAAACAAGAAAGAAAAAAATTTTTCCTTTGAAAATAAGAACCCTTCGTGGATTTAAAATGAAAGCTTTAGTCAGAAAATGAAATCATTAGGAAAAAAAACTCCATATTTAAAAAAAAAAAAAAAAAAGGAAAAGGGGAGGGAGGGGAGAGGAAGGGGCATGTGGGTAGGAAAGATGGTGGAATTCGATGGACATCATTACCCTAGGAACATGTATGAAGACACGAATGGTGTGACGCTACTTTGTGTACAAAGAGAAATGAAAAATTGTGCTCCATTTGTGTACCATGAACTGATATGCATTCTGTTGTCATGTATAACAAATTAGAATAAATTTTTTCTTAAAAAGGAAGTTTCTGGGACAACTATGAATTAAAGATTGAAATTTTAAAAATTACTTGTTTAGACCAAAAAAGTGCTTATTTTATACATTATTTAAGGATAGGCTGGCATTTAGGCACACCAAATCAAACTTTACAAAAGCTTCTTGACCAAGGAATCCTGAGGGACCTGTACTTGTCAAGTATCAAACCTTTGTGACCATCACAAAATTTAAAAGCAACAGAAAGCTAAGTTTAGAAGCCACAAAACATAACTATTTAATTCACTGAGGCTCTTATCTTTTACTTCTGGATCCCCAGAGTAAATAATTTTATTCCATAATGCTGACATTTGGAAGACTTCTGGAAAAAACTCTAAAGCAGCACAATGTATTCGGGTACAGATGTGTATATAAATATAATGATGTAAGATTTGCTTTGAGAGGCTGCGGTTATGGCTCAGTGGTAGAGCGCTTGCCTCGCACATGCAAAGCCCTGGGTTCAATCCTCAGCACCACATAAGAGGGCTGGGGATGTGGCTCAAGTGGTAACGCACTCGCCTGGCATACGTGGGGGGCTGAGTTCGATCCTCAGCACCACATAAAAATAAAAAAAATAAAGATGTTGTGTCCACCAAAAACTGAAAAATAAATATTAAAAAATTCTCTCTTTAAAAAAAAAAAAAAAAGATTTCCTTTGAATCATACCTGAAATTGATATCCACTTGTGTCCATTTATAAGAAAGTTCAAAAACAAGTACTGTAAAATTAATGCCTTTAATCCAACGAAGCAGGTAAAAAAATAAAAAATAAATAAAACAAACCAAAGAGAAATAAACCCTAATAAAATAAAGAAAAACTGAATCAAATACCATGATCTGAGTGTGTCTATGGGGGGTACCATAGTATAGCATTCCTTTGCATAAAAATATTTTAAAAGGTGAAAAAAACAGCAAACTATATTCAAATGCATGTATAAAAAATAACTGGATAAAATTCACAAAGTTGAACACTGAAAATCTTAAAAGTCTTCAAAAGATGAAGATATTCCAACACAGGACTGACTGGCATTTTCAAAACCTTCTCAAACATAAAAGTATGTGGGAATTCCATCAAAATAAAGAAAGATTAGTAAAGTAGAGAGGGGGGGGGTGTTGAGGAGGAGGAACAGGAGGACAGGATAAAAGAAAAACAGTGGACTGAATCTGACCTAACTTTCCTAGGTACATATATAAACATGCCATAGTTAATCTAACCTTTATGTATATGCACAAGACACTAACAGATCAGGAGAGTAGAGGAAGGGAACAGGGGAAGGAGGACTGGGGTCAGGAGAAGTACTGTGAATTACAACAAATTATATTCCACAATTTTATAACTGTCAAAATGAATTCTAATATTATGTGTTTAAACTAAAAAGAATCAGAATTTGTTTAAAACGATTAAGTTTAAAATATTTACTTATTATACTTCCTGTGTTATTATGGGGAAAAGCACAAAATTTTTTTCCCCTAGGTACAAACTCATTATAAATATATTCGATACTAAAAATTTTGTGTGGCTTTCTTTAAAACTATTCTGTTTATAGCAGCCTATTATTCACAAAGCACTATTTATTGTCATGTTAAAGAATAAAAGAAAAGGAATTTTTAATTAGTTTAACCTAGAACAGAATAAAATTGCTTTAAATAACCATTAAGCAGGGCTGTTCAGATCTACAGGATACCTGAATTTATTTTCTATCTCAATGTTGTCTTAACCCTTCTAGTTTCCCAGTCCATAAGCCTTGATCTTCAATTTCACCTACAACATAGCACTGATAACTACATCTAACTGAAAAACATTTTCATCACCCCCCAGAAGTTTTATACTGGTTAGTTTTTACTCCCCAGCTCAATTCCCCCTTCATCCTTAATAGTCACTAATCTACTTTCTGCTTCTATGGATACACCCTATTCTAGACATTGCGAATAAACAGGCTCATACTGTATGTTTTCAAAGTTCATACATGTTATAAGTACACATTAATACTTCCTTTATTTGGCCAAACAATATTCCACTGTATTCATATATCCTATTTGGTTTAACCATCTATTATTTGCTTAGAGCACCTGAATTGTTTCCACTTTTTGTCCATTATAAATAATGCTATTATGAATATTCATGTGCAAATTTTTGTATAGACACATTTCAATTTTCTTCAGTACATACTAAAAGAGTGCATTTACTGGGTCATAATGATAACTGTGTTTTCAGGTATCCCACCAGTTTCTGATAAATCCATTTTTTAAAAACTGGTCTTAAACTTATTGTTTCAGGATATAGAATTAAAAATCCAGGCTCCATCTTTTGGAAGAACAATTTCTTTCACACTTCTCAGTACATTAGGTTTCTTGAAAATTAGAAAATCTTATAGTAATTAACATATTTTCTGGATCTACTCTTCTAAATCACATGTGCCTCTGGTTTGTCCCCTAAAAATTGTTAATTTCTTCCTTGACAAGAGCATTATTTGAATTTAAAAGTTATTATTAAAATTGGATTTTTTTTTTGCATTCACTAAATTACAAAAACTGCCCATCTCTTGGTAGTATGGTGTATGTACTGTATCCAGTCAGGAGATATAATTGTATTCTAGGAATACACAACCTACCTTAATTCCTGCACTTCCATTGGGCATCTTCTGCAGTTCATAAGGAAGCCTGACTCTTTCAGTTTGCACAATGGGATCATCAAATGATCGCCCGTGAAGTTTTTTGAAGCCATGAATTGTATTTCTTACATTTGTGACTATCTGTTGGGAGTAAACACTCAAATTATTTATCAATGACTTAATGAATGTAAAAGAAAATACTATCCTAATACTTAAAACCATGTCCCTTTTTCTTGTATACACACCCAGGCTCAGACTTATACTTTTTCATTTTCCTGGTTTCCAATTCGCAGTAAAGTTATAATGAGAAAGTTATGCATTTTAACTATCACCTCCCAAATGCCCCTCTGACGTCTCCAAAAGAGAGAGGGAACAAAATTTAAAACTTTCCAATAATAAAAGTCTACCTATAATTCATCCCTTCATTATCCTCAATACTTCTACTCCAGTGAATTAGTATTTCTGATTTCTACTTGTTACCACTCTCATTTCTATTTTTGCTTACAATGTTTCTATTTTTGGTACAGTTTTCTTTTCTTAATATTTAATTCACTGTGAAATGAATTAAGAGTACTCTCATGTATTAGTATGCTGCCTGCACTGCTGAAACTTGCTCTTAGGCAAGTAAATTAAACCCCTTCCATGTAGCATGATGTGAAGTTCAAGTATTTTAATTTGTAAATGTCTTGTAGTCTGCAACACCTTTTTTTTTTTTTTAAGAGTACGTAGTTCAAACTATAGACTGTTACTAAGATCCAGTACCTGCCCTCCTAGTGACTCTGAAAGCCAAATAGATCTTGATCTTCAATTATGAGGTGAAAACTACAATGATGTCGTTACTATGTTGGAAAGCTCTTAGAAGAACTGACTTTATGGGTTGGTTTCTTTTTAGTACTGGGGACTGATCTCAGGGGCACTCAGCCACTGAGCCACATCCCCAGCCCTATTTTGTATTTTATTTAGAAACAGGGTCTCATTGAGTTACTTAGCACCTTACCATTATTGAGGCTGGCTTTAAACCCCCTACTCCAGCCTCCTGACCTGCTGGCATTACAGGTGTGCACCACTGCCACCTGGCGTGGGTTGGTTTCTTTTGACTATCTATGATACACTTAGATCAGCCTGAATGTGAGAGGAAAACTCAAAATAAAAACATTCCCCCACCCAATATTGGGGATTGAACTCAGAGGCACTCTACAACTGAGCTAAACCCACAACCCCCACTTTTTTATGTGTGTATTTATCTTTTAGTTGTAGGTGGACAATATCTTTATTTCATTTTTATGTGGTGCTGAGGCTCGAACCCAGTGCCTCACAGATGCTAGGCGAGTGCTCTACCACTGAGCTACAACCCCAGATCCCCTTTCTTATTTTCATTATGAGATAAAGTCTTGATAGGTTGCCCAGACTGGCCTCACACTTGGAATCCTGCCTCAGCCTCCTTGCTGGGTTGGGATTACAGGTGTGTGCAATCGTGCCAGGATAAAAACACTCTCACATACAGGGCAATTATAAAAAGATGGGTATGGCAAACATCATAACCAAAACATCCCCAGATAAATGAGTCAATTATTCTGTCCTAAGTGGAAAATAAAACCCATTGAAGAAAATTTCAAAAGTAAGAGACAACCCAGGTATACATATGAAGGGTAAGAAATAACTGTTACATGTTTTTGGTGAATGGAAGTTAAAAAAAAAGAAAAAGCAATGTTACATTGTTAAGTTATATTCTATTGATTAGCATTTCAGTTGAAATTACTTAAATTCAAAGTTTTCCATTTTGTAACTATTTCAACAAAACTAACACAGATGCATTAAAGTAGGCTGGAAATAATAATATAGGGTTTATATACCCTTTATTATCATTAAGTATGAAAATGTGAGTTGGTCTATAAAAAGGACACCTGATCAATTAGTGTCTTAGTATATCATCCTATAAATAGGACACAGGGCAAATATTATATCTGGGATGCTAGGACAAAATGGGTTAAACAAATTCCACAAATAGTGATAGCAACATGGGATTACCCTGGTGGGTAACCCCCACATCCTTTTACAAAAACAGTGCTTACTAGTCACTGAAGTGCATTTCTAGATAGAGTATCTGTCATAGAAAGTGACTATACTAGGAAAAATTAATGTCACACAGCAGTATACCCTAACTTTATAACTAAAGACTTTAAAAATTAATTCAAGGAAATGTATACAATTCAAAACAAAATACATCTAATAAAATACAGGCCCCCGGAGGAGCCCCCGCAGATGCCATACTAAAAGCCAAAATGGCTGCCCCAAGGAAGCCCGTACCATGTGGCTAGTGAGGGTTGGGGAATAAGCTTCAGCAGGAAAGGGGGAGGGGTATTCTAGGAAGACCCATCACAGGATCATCATCCCGGAGCCACATAGGTTCCAATGACAGCCATCCCTTGCTATAACTTTTAATCTGTACTTGGAAAAACACTGGCCAGGAAAAAAAATGATCAAATTTTTCCTTGTGGTGAATAAACAAGGCCAGATCTGACTTTCTAAGTACTATGAGCATGTGGAGATTAATAAGCGTGCTCTTCTGGAAAGAGAAGTCATAAAGAGCTGCCTCTCGATCCAATGAACAATGCTCTTTCATTGAATATAAGGTTTTTAAGCTGATATATCGGCAATATGCAGCTCTCTTCATTGTGGTTGGAGTTAATGACACTGAGAATGAGATGGCTGTTATGAATTCATCCACATTTTGTGGAAGTTTTAGACGAGTACTTCAGCCGAGTGACTGAACCAGATATAACGTTTAATTTGGATAAAGTACACACCATTTTGGAGGAGATGGTGTTAAACGGCTGCATTGTGGAAACTAATCGGGCAAGAATTCTTGCTCCTCTACAAATTCTTGATAAGATGTCAGAAAGCTGAATAGAAGGCTCTGCCAGATAGCATCAATTTATAGGAAATGTGAAGACCATTTGAAAAGAATCTGGAAGACTACCTATTACGAAATGAGGTACCCTTCCAAACAATATAAATAGGTATTTTCCACAGTTCCTAAATGGAAAATAAAGCTATTTTAAAATATGTACAAAGAAAAATCTTCTCTTAACTGAGGCAAGTTTTATTTTCAGTAACTGTTAAGTATATTTTTTCCCACTTCTTCAAATTTTGTTGAGTACCTAAGAAATCCTCTTTGGTCTCTGCTTCCCTTTGCAAATTAAATTCAGGAACAGTGGGATGGTGGTAAGAAGAATGTGTGGCAGTTGTCTATTAGCCAATAAAATTTGTAAGTTGACTTAAAAAAAAAAAAAATACAAAGATGTCAGGATCTGTCATATTTGCAACTCTCAGTTACCTAACATGGTATCTTAGTATGATTCAATTAATTCTTCTTATAAATCAAAACAGTCATCCTAACAATTTTACCTGGCTCTTAGCTGCATTTCCAATGGCTCGAGTTCTTGATCCCAAAGATATACAGGCCCTAAATAAGGAAAAACAAAAAGGTTTATTTTTAAAGGTATTTTTATATTAATGTGCTATTATTTTTCTTGTTGTATAAAACTAAACTTAAAGATTAATAATGTTTTATTTTGAATGTTAATATAAATTAAAATTTTACACATTTTTGATACTTGGGATTAAATCCAGGGGCACTCTACCAACTGAGCTACATCTCCAGCCCTTCTTATTTATTTATTTCTTTTTAAAGAGTGCAAGAGAGAGAGCAAGAGAGAGAGAGAGAATTATTTTTTTTAATATTTATTTTTTAGTTCTCGGCGGACACAACATCTTTGTATGTGGTGCTGAGGATCGAACCCGGGCCGCATGCATGCCAGGCGAGCGCGCTACCACTTGAGCCACATCCCCAGCCCTTCTTATTTTTAAGACAGGGTTTCACTAAGTTGCTTAGGTTGGCCTCAATTTTGAAATTCTCCTGCCTCAGCCTCCCAAGATACTGTAGATTATAGGCATACACCACCACACTCAGCAAAATTTTACATATTTTAAAGTTTCCTAAATAATGGAATGGTGGTCAGAATAAATGTTAAGAATTTTTTAAGTGTCCTTATTACAGGAATAGTATTGTTGCTTCCTAAAACTGTTTTCAAATTCTACTGGTCTATGACCTATTAAAAAAATTAAGCGTACTCAGTAAAGCAAGGCTACATGGATTTAAAACCTTGCTCACCACTGAACAGCTGAGTAACCTTGTGGAAATTACATAACTAGTATTTGCTTCGGCTTTCCATCTGGAAGACAGTGATAATACCTGCTCATAGGGGTAAGAGAGGATTAGAGGAGTGAATCTAGGGAAACTCTTTGAACAATACTTGGTACACAGACATCACACAAATTATTGCTATTTAGTTTCTGCATTTAAATATATGACATAAAAGCAAGTACAGAATATTTTCATAAAAATACCATTTCATGTATGATTTAAGAAAATTTTCATGATTTCAGTTGTAATTATAGGAAACAATTTAACTCACAAAGAAAGACACTATATACAAAGCCCAATCTCTGTCCTTGGAGGATTTACAGTCTACTGAAGAAAAAAAATCATCATATAGAAAATATAGGATTAAGAGTAATACTAATAATTAACAAAAGGTAGAATAATAACTTCTATACAACAGAGCTTAGGGAAAAGCAAAGAGAGACAACTTCAGCATCAAGATTTGGAAGGAGACAAAGCATTTCACATGTCTTAAGGAAAAGGACATTCCTGCTACATAGGTTATTACAACTATGGTTTGCACCCCCAAAGGTTTGTGTGCTGAAAACTTGGTCCCCAATGTAATGACAACAAAGCAGTACCTTTAAGTGGCAGGGCCCAGTGGGATGATTAGGGCATAGGAACATCACCCTCAGAAAGGAGTAAAAAGCCCATTTCAAGCAAGTAGGTTGGATCTCGTGTAACTAGTTAGTTCTCCAAGACAGTAAGTAGGCTGTTACAAAATGAGGCCACTGTGTGGATGGTTCCCTTTCTGTTTCTCTATCATGCTGTAATGCAGCTAGGAACCCTTGTCAACACAAGCACTATGCCGTTTAGAACCTCCTCCAGCCACCAGAATCAGGAGCCAAATACATCTCTTTACAAAACAGCCACCAGAATCATGAGCCAAATAAATCTCTTTACAAAACTCTTTACAGCCTCAAGTATATTATTATAGTAACATACAAAACAGAGACATATAAGTCTACTTTCAACATGACAGCCAGAGCAATACTCTTTAGTATTTAGTATTTTTTTTTTTTTTAAAGAGAGAGTGTGTGTGTGAGAGAGAGAGAGTGGGAGAGAGAGAGAATTTTTTAATATTTATTTTTAAGTTTTCGGCGGACACAACATCTTTGTTTGTATGTGGTGCTGAGGATTGAATCCGGGCCGCACGCATGCCAGGCGAGCGCTACTGTTTGAGCCACATCCCCAGCCCCAGAGCAATACTCTTTTAAAGAGTAAGATCATGAGCCTCTCCTGCAGAAAACCCTCCAGTTTTGCTGACTTGCAAAGTAAGCTCAAGTCTTCCCAAAAACCAATGTATACTCTCTTCATGGTCTGGGGTCTTTGTTGCTCTACCCTATAAATTCAAGACAAGTACATGGATCTCTATGCTATTTCTAGACTACAAAGTATACTTCTGCTATACATACAGTTCTCACTTTCAGAACACTTCTAAATACACCAATATGGCCCTGCACGCTCAATTCTTTTAGATCTCTGTTCAAAAGACAGGTTATCAGAAACACTGTCCCTGATAATTCTATATAAACAATATTCCTGCTCCTCCCAAGTACATCTAATACCATTTTTTCCAATTTAATTTTTCTTCATCGTATATCATCTTCTAATACAATTATTCACTGGACATATATTCACATCAGAATATGAATTTCATGAGGTTTAGATAAGGTATACCCCACCGCCCTGTTCTGTGCTATCCAATATGGAGGTCACTAGCCACATGTGCCCAGTAAAATTTAACTAAAAGAAAAAAAATTCAATTCTTCATATCCAACCACATTTCAAGTGCTTAATGACTACATGTAGCTAGTGGATATACAAAGAACAAGATATATATAGAACAGATATACAGAATAGGAAGTTCTACCAGACAACAATGGCATAGATCACACTCTGATACATACTAAAGGTTTTTATTGAATGTTGCTCCTATGGGTAATGGTTATTTGATAGGAAGAACACAACTTGCAGTTTCACAGGACAATTTGGTAATATAGTATTGAGGCCAGATTAAGTAGGGCCTCACATTCTAGAATATAAATTTGAAATTTATTCAGTAGATAATGGGAATTCATTAACAAGTTCTAAATAATGCAGAGGACATTGACTGCTGGTGTATCATACACAACAGAGAAGTAATATTCCAGATAAATGGTTCTCAAGGGCCGAACAAGCCATTGTTATGTTGGGAACCACTGAATTTTCAGGGAAGGCAAATAGTTTAAAAGTTCATTTAGTAGATTCAACAAATGTTTGTTGAGTAAGCTTTGCACTATTAGTTGCTAAAGATACAATGGTTAAAGGAAAGAATGCTATATACATACAAATAAAAGTAAACTAGGTGTTAAACAAAGGGAGCACATGGTGCTACAAGAATAGACCACAGCAGGAACTGACCCAGAGGGTTAAGAAGGCTTACCCAAGGAAGTGTCAACAGTGATGGCATCAAAGAGGCAGAAAGTTTGTTGGAAATCATTTTGATTACAGTATGAACTGATAAGCTTCCTTTCTAATGTAACTTCTGGAACATTTACAATTATGTCTGTGGCTGACATTTTCATTGACAGAGCTGGACTATACAGAGGGAATAGGTTAAGTGAAAAGCATAATGTCTAGGTTTCCAGTTTACATAAGAAAATAGATAATGATGCTATCCAATGAGACAGAAACACTGTCAAGAACAACAGATTTGGAGAGGAACAATCACAAATTCTATTGTGATCATTCCAAGTTTTAGACACCTTTGAGACATAGGAGCAGATACACACACACACACATCCTCACACACCCTTTCTCTCTCTCTCTCAAAATGTTAAAAATTATCAGATGGAGGAGGGAATGAATGTTACTGTTCTGAGATTCAGTGAAAAACAGGAAAATCAGGACATAGCAGAAATCAATAGGTTTGATGATATCTTTAACACCTCTTGCAAATAATTCCTTGATTCAACACATTCTTTGACCAAGTAAAAATGTACATATCAAATATAGAAATCTGTGTGGATGGCTGGCATGGTTGGCATTCAATCCTAAAATTCATCTCTTGGAGAAAACATCAGTTTGCCATCTTTCAGCTACTTATATCTGTCTTGTTCCTAACTCCATTACTTGGACATACTTCCAGATACTTCTAATTTTTCACCATTGTGCTACTGAAAAATTCTGTGCACTTGAATGAACAGGAAAAATTTTTCTTAGGTTGATTCCCAATAGTTTAATTTTTGTTAGAATAGTATATTTAGATTTGTTTTCTACTGTCGTTTTTTTTTTTTAAGGTTAGGTTCTTTGAAACCTTCATACATAATATGTCACAAAGAAAGTCAAATTCTTACCATTAGTAGACTCTCTTGAAGTAAAAAGTAGACAATTTATTTATTAAAGTTTAAAAAAATACCTAAAGTAACTAGGCTTGGAAATGTCAAGCAGAAAGTCTTCAAACTCTTCCCTTCAATTTTCTTAAAAACCAAAAACAAAATTCCAGAATGTTACAAAACCATTAAATAAAAAATACTGCCAAGGTTTTGAGAAAAATCAAGTAAGTTAAATACCTATTCTTTCTCAAAACTTTTACCTGAGCCAGTAATAACAAAGGAAATAGATGTTATCAATAAACATTACATGATGTAAAAGTTTTTTTTACAAAAAAATTCTCAAAAAAAGTTTTGTTCTATTTAGATATACTTGACTATAGAATGTATTTTGACATATTATACATACAGGGGGATGTAAACTTCCCATTCTTGTAGTTGTACATGATGTGGACTTACACTGGTCATGTATTCACCAATAAACACAGTAAAGTTATGTCTGATTTGGTACAATCTTTTTATGTTATACTTCATATACTTTGTCATCTCTATTCAAAAATTCCATTTTGTACTTAAAAAATATTTACAATGCAGCTTAAATCTCAAATATCCAATGTGATATTTCCAGACTGGATATCTGGAAAGGAAGCCTTAGATTCTCAGAAAATGCCACAAAACTGTTTCAACTTTTAAATGTCCAATGTCCCTTTTAGTTAGGGAGGGATCTTATGGAAAATAATCAAATGTTAAAAGAATAAAACATCAAAAAGCATGCACCAACTAAATTAAGAATTTCCTTCTTTTCAGAGAATCCTTCTGTAATGTATCTGCATTTTAAAAATGTTTATTACCTTGATATTTGCAAGTAGAATATGAATTTTTTTCAAAACTAGCTTCTCATGTCATTAAATAAAATAGTGTATGAGAAAAAAGTTAAAGGTTCTTCTATTGTACTGCTTTTCAAACAATAGGAACACTTTGTAAATGAATAAATGTCCTGGACCAGGTACATCTTCCCTCAACAACTGCCCCACTAAGAAAATACACAGTGCAGGAGTATATGACCACCCTGAAATATTTTTGGTCAATAACAGACTATATACTCCTGAATTAAAGGACAATATAAAGCCAAGGCAAAAACAGCCGGTGATGCAAGCTAATTGAAAACATGATCCTTCCACTTAGAAACTTTCTCGATTAAACCCAAGGTGGTAGTTCACACCTGTAATCCTAGCTATGACAGGATGATCACAAGTTCCAGGCCAATCTTGGCAATTTAGCAAGACCCTGTTTCAAAAATAAAGAAGGACGAGGATGTAGCTCAGTGGTTATTTAAAAAAAAAAAAAAAAAAGCGTCCCGCTTCAAACCCCAGTGCCACAAACACCAACTTTCTGGATTGGTCAGGTCCTTAAATCTAAATATTAGTTATTCCTTTTCCTACACATAAATCAAAATATCTCAGCCACACAAAAACCTGCCAAAGCGAATCTAGACTTCTAAACGACTAGCAGGTGAAGTCTGAAACCCCAGGTCTGCCGGGTTCTCACTGCCGCGACGTCGGACCCGGGAGCGCTTCCGCCCGGCCTCAGCCTCCCGCAGGTGGATGCTGAAGCCGAAGGTCGCCAGGTTACCCTCTGCTTGGCCCAGGGAGCCGAGTTTCCCGGTCCTCTGCGGGCAGTCACACGTACGCTGCGACTTAAACCGTGTGGAGCTGAGCACGCGACAGTCCGCAGCCGCGTCACCCTCCTGTGCAGAGCCGACCCTCTGAGGTCGCCTTCCGCGATCCAGGAGACCCCAGGACCTGGCCTTTCCAGTCAGGAGTCGCCTCGGCAACGAGCGGGCCAGGCGAGCCGCGGGCGGGGAACCGGAGTTCCAGCGCGTTCCGTGCCGCATTCCGGCAGCCAGCCCCCAAAATTTCAAAAGAAATCTAATGGATAAGTGTGGGGGGGGATTCTTTCTAGAATGTTCTTGCAAAGGAATCAAAGCACGGACGACACCAGAGACGCCCTCTCCCCGAGGCCGGGTCTCCGCCGGCTCGCAGTCGCCCGGCGGCGCGCGGGCCACCCGCAGGGCGCTGGCCCTCCCCCGCGGGGCCGCGGCACTCACGGGGTACACCTGTCGCTGTACTCGTTGGCGATGGTCTCGATGCCGCCGCTGCGCGCCACGGCCACGTAGCAGTTGAGGAAGCCGAGGTCAATGCCCACCACCGACATCCCGCCGCTGGAAGGTCGCGGCGGTGGCGCCTTAGCCTGGGGAGCGGGCGCCGCGTCCTTCGCTGGGCCGTCGCTGCTGCGCCTGCGACTCCTGCGGGGGCAAAGGGGAGAGGACCCACTCGCTACCCGGAGCGTCCGGGGCAGGGCGTGGGGCGACCGCGGAGGGAAGAGGCCGCCTCGCCACAGCTCCCGCGTCCCGCCGCCTCCGACTCTCCACTGCGGTCCGGCCGCCTCCAACCGGCGGTTACTAGGACCCGCGCCTGCGCGCTTGGCCGCCGGGGGGGCGGGGCGCGAGCCGTCTCCCAGCGCCCGAGGCAGCTCCCTGCCGCGCCCTCGGACGCTCCCGTCAGCACTCGGGCAACGGCTGCCAGAGGAGCTGCGGGTTCGAGAAAGATCTGGAAAGCGGGGGCGTCCCTGCCGGGCGGGGCGTGGTGGGGAGGCGGGGAGGCGGGGCGGCGGGCGCGCGGCGGCTGCGCGCACTGCGGTTGGGCAGGTGAGCGGCGCGGACAGCTGCGGGCGCCCCGGGCGCTGCGGGCCCGCGGAACCGGCCGCCACGCCCCCGCCCGCTCCCCACGGGGCTCTCCCGCCGCCCGCGCACCCACCCGCCGGCCTCGCCGCCCCGAGGGGCCCAGTGCGGCCCGCGGCGCCTGCACGGGTGGCGCTCGCCCCGCCATCCGCCGCGCCCGGCTCTGTGAGGTGGCGCCCATTGTGCCGCGCGCGTTGCGCGGGGTGTTCTCTTCCCGCCAGGCGTTCAAGCGGCGAAAACCCGGCGCAGGTCGGGGAACCGGGCACTGGCGCCCTCTCGCCGCCGGCGTCCTCGCGCCCTCGGGGAGAGGGCGCCCGCCGTACCTTTCCCTTCCCTTGGCTTCCTCGTGGGCGTCTTGTCCCTTACTGCCCAGCTCTTGGTGCGTGCCTTGGTTCACCTGGGCTGTCGTCTTGCGGGCGACGGCGGGCTGCTCGCTAGAGTGGCTGCTGCTCTCTCGGTCCTCACTTTCCGTCCACTTTAGGAAGTTTAGACGCCTTAGTATCAATGCTGCCGCCAGAGCGGCCGCAGCAACCGTGAATAAAGCTCCTGCGGCGGTTGCCAGGATGAGCGGGAAATCCATGTGGGGGCGGTGCTCGAGGGGGGTGCACCGCACCCTGCCCCGGCCGCCTCGTGGGGCGAGCGGGCCGCGGCGCCGTCGACGCCCTCGGCTGCAGGCCGGCACGCGGCCTCCCGGCAGGCTGCGCGGCCGGGACTGAACGCCCTGGGAACTCTGCGCCAGCGGCCTCGTCCGCCACTGCGCAGCAGGAGGCCACCGCCCGGGGCCGGCCCCATTCCTGAACTGTTTCTCTGATTCCACCTATTTATCCACCCTGTCTGAAAACCTTAAGGAACAACAACAACAAAGACGTCGATTCCAGGGACAAGGAGTTACCCCCGCACGCCGCCTGACACAAAGCCGGCCGGCCGATGGTCACTGCCCGGGGCCTGTCACAGCTGGCCTTTTGGCAAGTTCCTCGACTAGCAAGTCCCAGGTTCAAACTGCTGAAAGCGGGAGACGTGTCCTCAGCGCTGTTTTGTGATAAGTAGCTCAAGCACAGCATGGCTGCCTGGCACCAAAGTGCCAGCAGACGTCCTTAAGCTTACCTGCTGCTGGAACCGAGGAAGCAAACTGATCCGCGCCCATAATGTACCTAGCAGCTTCGCTGCTCTTCGGTTTTGGTACTGAGGATTGATTCCAGGGACGCTCGACAACTGAACTACATCCCCAGCCCCTTTTACCTTTCCAGAGGGTCTTGCTAAGTTGCTTAGGGCCTCCCCAAATTACTGAGGCTGGTTTCGAACTTGGGAGCCCCCTGCTTTCGGCTTCCAGCGGGTTACAGGCGTGAGCCACCACGCCCACCTTGTTTTCTATTCTTGAATGGTTACTTATATTTTTATCTAGATCTTGCACAAAGCTGATTATTCATTTGTTGCCGCAGTCTGGCTGGGCACAATCAGGAGCCACTTGTCAAAAGAAACTAACTTTATTTTTAGAACCACACACGACAAACAAAATAGTCTCTCAGGAAAAACCCTCAGAGCCTCAACTGCCACCACCGGCTTTCCACAAGCCTCTCTCTCCCCCACAAGCTTCTCTCCCCCTCCCACAATCCTCCTGCTCTTGAGGCCGATTGGCTGGGTCACGTGGGCGGAGCCAAAAAAGTCCCCCAATGAGCAGCTCCGTGGTCTGAAAGGGCAGGGAAACAGTCCAATGAGCATCACCGCAGAGGAGCCAATCAGCTAGATGTTGCTGGGGCCGAGGAGCCAATCAGCTAGATGTTGCTGGGGCCGCTGTGAGCCAATCATCAGCCAGCAGCTGGAAGTTTGCTGGCAGCTGGAAGTTTGCTGGGGCCCCTCAGGCTGTGGCTCTCAACAATTTGTGAGTTAAAATGTCTTGCTATAGCTATATTTTTCTCATTTTTAATATTTAATTTTTTTGTTTCACTAGCTAAACAGCTTTTGGTTTTCTTGCTTTCTTTACTATGTCTTTATTTCCTAATGTGCTTTTTATTGTTTTCTTCTGTTTTATGTTTTTTCTTTCTCTAATCTCCAGAGTTAAACACCCAGATCATTAATTTTGTCATGTTTTACAATTCTTACATCTGAAGCCGTAAGTTTCCTTCTAGACACCATTTTAGGTACATTCCTACCTGAATCTTCAAACAGTTAATAAGAGTAGGCAGGGTGGCAGAGCGCTTGCCTAGCATGTGTGAGGCACTGGGTTTGATCCTCAGCACCACATAAAAATAAACATATAAAATAAAGGCATGCTGTCCAGCCACAACTACAAAAGTATTTTAAAAAAAGAGGTAACAGAAATAAAAGCATTACCGCTGATAATGTTAGTAGATAAATTACTTAGGTGCCTATTGGCTTGTAATTGTTGAACCCCAGATTTAAGTAGCCCTGCCTAACTAGTCATAGTGAAACACACTAACGCCATATTCCTGCTGGGCCCTGTGAAACCTCTATCAAGGAGGGAAAGACCAGAGTTAAGTGTAGAGGCCCAAGAAAAGTGAGAATGAGGCTAAATTATTCCCAGACTCACCAAGGTAAGTGACTTCTCCCACATTTCCCCTCTCATAGGCTTATCTAGGTCACCAAGGTATTCAGTTTGTTTCCATCATTGCCCCTTGCATCCCACGCCTTCCTTTTTGGGTTCAGTTTTCTTGCATTTTTTTTAAATAAAGCTCTCTAAATCAACTATATTTTTTGTCTGAAAGTATTATCAAGCTAACTTTTGAATAATAATTAGCTGAATGCAGTTTTTGTCACATTTTTCTTATCTGTTAAATTTTAGCCAATCTGACCAATTTCTAATATACCTGCATCTTTCTCTGTGATATTGATCCATTTTTACATGTTTAAAATCTTCTATACTGTTTTAAGTTTCAGCTTAATGTAGCATGAATCTCCCATGATTGTCTTAATTTTAGTTCGTTTCCTTCCTTCACTAGCACTTTGTACCTTGTTCTTTTGGTGCTTTTCACATTCTGTTCACTGTTCTCTGTGACATCCACTTACTAGATTATAACTTTACTACTAGGTTTTATTAGAATATAGACTGTACTCTTTCGTATGCTTCATACTAGTTAAGACCTTGAATTCATGGATGCACAATAAATAGTTATTGTTGTATAAGTAGGAACTTCACCCTATAACCAACTTACATGGAAGACTAAAAGCTTCCGTTTGAAAGACCTGAAATGGGATTATCTGTATGTGGAAAGGAATCCTTTGAGGCAGAAAATCTTCTCAGGGGAAACAATTTTTTGCATTATGTGTTAAAAAATAAGACATTTTCAAGGTAACTAAAGGAAGGAACTAATGGGCACAGAGAAGAGATTATATGAGAAAAAGAATACTTTCCGTCTATTTCTGTGACTGGGAACACAGATAAGCCAAAGATGCACTTTTGACTATACACATAGGTATAACGGTCTAGGGCAGAGGTTCTTTGAAGTTCCCAGATACTGAGGGGATCCATAGACAGAATTAAGGGAATCGTTTTGAAGTAACCTTAAACTGAAATTTAATGTTTCCTTCAATCATGAATATAAGCATAAATCACAGTAGTAAAAACAGTATATGATTTTTGCTATCAATAGAAATAAGGTATTTTTAATACCACCTTATAAATGTTGGAGACAACTTCAAACAACATTAATAGTAACATTGACCTTGAAAATACAACAATAAATAGGTTATTAGTTCTTATTATAAACTTTTCAAAAAGTACATGTTGGGGCTGGGATTGTAGCTCAGTGATAGAGTGCTCCCTCCCTAGCACATGTGAGGCACTGGGTTTGATCCTCTGCACAACATAAAAAGGTTATCAAAAAAAAAAAAAAAGAGAGAGGCAATTCTTTTTTTTTTTAAAGCACTTTACAGAAAAGCATGTATTTTTAATAACTGTATTTCCAAGTTTCCTTTGTATAATCAATCCTATGTATTTTACTTAAAAACTTGGTTGCAAGAAGGGGTTCATAGACTTTACTAGGCTGACAAGTGTCCATGGCACAAAAATGGTTACAAATCCTTGTTTTGAGAGACAAGAGCAAAAAAACTAAAGGAAAGTGAGCATCTGATGAAAATCATAGAGCATATACCCTGCTAGCTTGGACTGCTTACCTCCCAGCTATTAAGTAACAAAAATACCTATATTATTTAAACCATTATACTTTTGAGTTGCTTTTACAACTTAACCTACTTTCACTGAGGTTATTAACTCATTTTGTCCTGCTATCCCAGATACAAAACACCTATAAAAACACTATAATTATATGCAGATAATTATGTAATTATAAAATGTAATTATGTAATAATTATATTAATTATAATATACATATACTATAGATTATGATTTCCAATCTACTTTAAAGGACCTGTGTCAATTTTTGTTGAAATATTCACAGATTGAAAACTTGGGACTTAATGGGTGAAAGTAATTTACACGAGGAATGATGAGGCCTAAATTAAGGCAATGGCAATTGAAGTGGAGAGAATACATGAGAAGAAATATTTAGAAGGTATAATTTATAATAGTTTTCACTCTATTTCCTATATTAATTTAGGCGGAAAGAAAGCAAGTTAGACTTCCAGATTTCTAGTGTTAAGTGACCAAGTAGAAGGGGTATGTACTATGAAGATAAGGAAAAGAAAAGTCTGTGGTAAGGAAAGAAAGTCTGAGATAAGGAAAGAAAGTCTGTGAATTAAGATGTTAGGTTTGAGAAGTGTTGGGTTACAAAGCCTCTGACACATAGAAAAATATGCAAGAGACAGGCAGGAAAATACAACTAGAAAAAGTTAGAAAGCACATAGCACTGGCCCCTAGAAAATACTAATGTTTAATAAGTGGTGGAAGGAAAGGTTCCCCTTTGAATTTATGTTTAGGTCAAACAGCTAATAAGGAATTAAGGTATCAATTTCCTATTTACATATCATAGTTTATATCTGATAAAAGAACTATTTCATAAATTTTTGTTCTAGAACACCAAAGTCCTTTTACCATCAATTCATAACAGGAATATAAAACAGCCAACAGTGTTTCAGGTGTTTCTGGACTATTATTACCTAGATGATGCCTGTGTTTGGTATTCTCATCCCCCTTCCCTCAGCAAAACCTGTGAGAAAACACTGAAATTCATTGAAATAAAATAAATGTAGTTTTAATAAGTATAAATGTCTACCAACTTAAAAGATCATCTTATTTAATGACGTATTTCAATGAATTAAAGATGAACAAAAAGAACGAAGCTCTGAAATGGAATTTTAGCTATTATTTGGGGTGACAGTTTTAGAGTAGGAAATTAAAAATCCTACCTAAGATTCTAAGATGAAACATTAGCAATTTAAGATAAAAAATGTGCACAACTTACACATATATATTAGCTATGCATTTTCCAACATTAGAGTTAGCATTTAACAAAATTGTTTCCTTAGGAAATCTCCATTATGGTTTTGTTCACTATGAGTCATCTCTCATTAACAGTTTGATATAAGAGTTTTAGCTCAGTTCAGGATACTAACATTTTACTTTCTTTTGTTCTATTGTTATGGTTTGGATGTGAGACAATGCAAGAAGGTTTAGAGGAGAAATGACTGGATTGTGAGAGTCTTAACCCAATCAGTGAATTAATCTCCTGACTGGGATTAACTGAGTGGTAAGTGAAGTGGTAGTTGTGACTGGAGGAATTGGAGTGCGGCTTTGGGGTATATATTTGTATCTGGCTTCCCTCTGCCACATTCTTCCACTAAGTTGTTCTGCCTCACCTGGAGCCCTGAGGATTAAAGCTGGCTGTCTATAGTTCCAGAGCTCTGAAACTGTGAGCCCTCAAATAAACTTTTCTTCCCCTAAAATTGTTTTGGTTAGGTCTTTTAGTCACAGCAGTGAAAAAGCTGACTAAAACGTTCTATGTATCTTCCAGACTTAAATAGGATTTTGGTATAGCAATTTAGCAATTAAGTTCATATTTGTTCTTTACCCATTTAATTTTTTTTTTTTTTTTGTACTGAGGATTGCACCCAGGAGTGCTCCACCAGTGATGTGCATCCCCAGCTTCCCTTTTACAATTTTGTTTTGAGACATGGTCTAAGTTGCCAACACTGGCCTCAACTTTGCAATCCAACTGCCATGCCCAACCCACTCAGAATTTTAAAGACTTTTTCCCTTTAAGTATGGCTCTGTGCAGGTTTAAAATTTTACAGTATTTTCTTAATCTTCACAGGGAAAATGATTATTAATATTTGATTATTTATCTTTGATCTGATAGTTAAGAAAGGGAAAAACAGAACTATTTTGTTTCTGTAACTTCTGTGTTATATTGACTATTCCAAGAAATTATGTTGAGTTTTTAAGAGTTATTTTTTCCCCTCAAGTGATAATGCCAATAGATTAAAAAAGTATATTTTGGACTCTTGAAATATATTTCGCCTCTGAGCACCAGGATGTTTACCTATTCCATTCTGCTGACCCACAGCCTCACAAAAATCAAAATTCTCTATAGTTTATCCCCACTAGCTTAATGTCCTTTCACCCACTCAAATTTTAAAATCTAGGTATTTCAAATGTGTGTGTGTGTGTGTTTTTGTTTTGTTGTTTGAGACAGGGTCTACCTAAGCTGCTTACGGCCGATGCTGGCTTTGAACTTGCCATCTTCCTGCCTCAGCCTCCTAAGCACTGGATCAAATACACTACCTTCTACAACATCTCTGAAAAAAACAAGAATCTTATACAAATCCTCGGAAATACTGCTTATATTTCTATGGAGAAAACAGACAAAAATTTTGCTGTCCTCTGCTGACTAATGTAGTTAGAGTCAGGGGTAAAGAAGGTTCGTTTACAACAGTTTTAAACTTCCTTTATTATCAATACAGAATACAAAACCTAATTTTCAAAGGGATTTTTTTTAATCCCAAGATATATCCACACTACCAAGATTTTATTTTAAAGATAACAATTAGCAGACAAGTCATTTATATCTCTTATTTTCCAACTAGTTTTACAGTGCCATTAAAAGCATTATCAAATTTTAATGATAGATCTGTGCTTATCAAAAGCTATATCATACTGTAAGTACTACACACAGTAATTCCTGAGCTGGCTTATTAGAGATGTTGTAGAAGAAAGCTTATTTATGCCTACAGATATAATGATGACATCTCTTGAAAAACTTTTAAGAAATATTTGTCATATCCTATGATTTTTAAAAGATGAGAAGACATATATTAAATGAGTAGCAATTTAAAAGAAGATACTTTCATTTTTTAGATTTCAGCATCATATACTTTAATTTTCATCAGAGATATAAGAAAAAATTTTAAATTAACAGAAATAACATACTCATTAAAGTAAAATGTCTCATTAAAACGAGTTTGCATCTAAATGGGAAGGAAACCCACATTTATCTGATTTTTAATATTTAAACCCTTGAAAAACGCCTATGCTTTATTTCAGAATTAGCACTTTAAGAAACACTGACAGTAATAATACTATCAAAATGTACACACACGGCAGCTATGTAATTTGTGCGCTTAACAAATTTTAAATGATGGGTTTCTCAATTTAATCTGATGAACTACCTCCAATGTCAATATTGATAAATTCTTTAATTTTATCATATAACACCAACACCAAAGCACCCCCCGTACCACGAAGGATGTTGGAAAAAGCACCACGAAAAAACGCATTCATTCCCTCATGTTGGTATATCTTCACAAAGCAGTCTATGGTTCCTTTATATTGTCGTTCTGCCTCACCACTCTATATAAAGAAAGACAAACAGTTTTCCATTATCTTGATATCTTTTATCCTAAGAGTTTTCTATTAACACTAAGGATAGAGAACTTAACACTGTATTGGGTTAATGGGCATATACTGAATTTCATACTTGTCCAGGACATCTGAAAACTAACCATACATGACACTTACCAAACACTGATGGATGGCATTACACAGATCCTGATTTTTCCTCTACCATACTGCACTGAGAAATTAATAGCAAAAATATGACTAGAAAAATATGTTGGGATATTCTTAGAAGAAATTTTCTTGGAAAATATTGAAACTAAATAACCACAAAATTCTTTAACTTAATTTATGAAATGCAGCTTGAGAGATAATTTATAGGTTAATTAATATTAGAAAAGAAATTAATGAGCAATCTAAATATTTGAAAACATGTATAAGCCTAGAAAAGTTGAAATAAGAAAATAACCAGCAATAAAGGAGACAGAAAGCAAACAATACAGAATGTATAATAAAGGAAATAGAAAACAAACATAACAGAATGCATAAAAAAATCAAGAGATAATAGGAAATAAACAGTAAACAGAGAACATCAATATGAGTTTTTTTAAAATACTTTTTGGATGAATTTCTGGAAATAATGTTTGAGGAGAAAAATAGAAAAGGCCCCAAGTTTATTAGAAATGGCAAGATTAACATAAATTTGTAGATGATCCAGAGATTAATGAATAAGATTTGAAAAACTTCATGGCAATTATTTTTAAAACAGAAGAGATGAATAAATTCCTAGAAAAGTATAATTTACCAATGACATAGGAAAAAACACTGGAATACTATAATTGTTAAGAAATCCAGTTGTTAAAAATATCGACATAAGGAAAACCACACATCCAGATGGTGTCACATGTGAGTTTTAAACAGTCAATGAATGATTCCAATTTTAACAGAAACTGCTCTAGAGAAGATAAAATATGGGAAGACTTTTACATATTAACATAGTCTAACTTTGGTATGAAGGCTGTGAAAGTCTAGCAAGCCAATGTCATTGACACACAGATGCTGAACAAAGCCAAGCAAATCAAACCCAGCCAGGGATGCAAAACACAGTACAATATGGTGCACCCAAGTTTATCCCAGACACACAAGGTTATTAGTTTAGCTCTAGAAAACAGACTATTAACATATTAAAGAGAAAAATAGGATCATCTCAACAGAGAAAAATGATGACCACATTCATGATTAAAGTCATTATAACCCAAGAACAGAAAGGAACTGCCGTAACACAATAATGGGTAACTACAACCCTACCCCCTGGCAACCCCCAACACCTAACATTAAGTTATATAACACTGAAGATATTCAAGTAGGAACAAATCAAAGTTGTTAGTTGTTACTTCTTTAATATGAAATCAAATCATTCAATGAGTAGAGAAGGGCAGGGAAAAAAGATATAAAAATTGATAAGGAAGGGAAAAAAGACAATGTTATTTACCAATTATATGCCTATATAAATAATCTTCAAAGCATACACATACAAATGAGCATTTATAATAGGGCTAACAAAGTAGTAGGCTATAAAATTAAAAAACAAAAATACCACTGTTATGAGATGAATTGAGTCCCCATCAAAATCTTATGTTGAAGAAATAAGCCCAGAACCATAGAATTGATTCTATTTGGAGACAGTGTATTTAACAGTAACTTATGTTAAAGGAGATCAGTCACTAGAGTGGCCCCTAATCCAATATGACTGTCTTTTAAGATGAGGTACAGGAAGGGCCATGAGAAGATACAGGAAGAAGATAGCCATCTATAAACCAAGGAGAGAGGCCCTGAGAAGAAACCAACCCTGCCAACACTTTGGTCTCACAGACTTCTAGCCTTCAGAACAATAAGAAAATAAATTTCTGTTAAGTTCCCCAGTTTGTGGTACTTTTGCAGCCTGGCATGGTGTAATCCCAGAGGCTCGGGAGGTTGAAGCAGGAGGATCGCAAATTCAAAACCAGCCTCAGCAACTTAGTGAAACCCTAAGCAACTTAATGAGATCCTGTCTCAAAAAATAGATAAATAAAAAGGGCTGTGGATGTGGCTCAGTGGTTAAGTACCTCAGGGTTCAATTCCTGCTGCTGCTGCTGCTGCTGCTGCTACTTCTACTACTACTACTACTACTACTACTACTACTACTACTACTACTTCTCCTTCTTCTTCTTCTTCTTCTTCATCATCATCAAATGTTCTCTTGGAGTCTGGAGAAAGCCTTTTCTCTTGAGATTTTGCTCTCCAAGAGGCCTCATCTAATTACTATAAGCATATGGCACCACCTCCCATGCATTCCTGGAAACTATTCACATTTCTATTTAAACCATTAATTTTATGTATTTGAGACTAAACTATGAGTTTGGGTCCTAGTTCTATCTTTTCTTATTTGTGTTACCAGAGCTGAGAATAGATTAAGCACTCAAATGTTTGCAGAAGGAATCAACATAACAAGAAACAACCATGGAGATGAAATATATCAAAACTTTGGGTTAGGGATTTATATTTAGAACATAGATCATTATAAACATATTTTTTATCCTTAGAGTTTAAAACAATTTTTATCAAAATATACCACAACAAGTGATTATTTTTGATGGCTTATAACAGCTTATTCTACTTAATCTAATATTTCAGTTAAGATAGACACATTTATCCAATCTCTTCCCTCTCCTTCCCCACTCCAAGCAATATATGCTATAGGAGTAAAGGAATTTCTGTTCTGATGGCAGATGAGGAAGAAGTTTTGCTTTCTGGTAGCTATTTTATGATAGGAAAGCATGTAAGATGGAAAACATCATGTATTCACTTTGGCAAAGTAAAACAAATGACCTATGCCTTTCAACTGAAATTTCTCTGAAATCCAAATAAATTATACTTGGATATAAGAGATAAATTATACCTGTATATCAGATTAGAAAATTCAATTAAGCTTACAAATAATATAAAATACCTGCATCATCATACGTCTTCTAACTGTGTCAAAGGGATAAGAGAGTATTCCAGAGCATGTAGTCACAACTTGAGCAATAAAAAAAGAGATAAGAAATGGGGTTTCCTTTGGTTTTGGTAACAAGCCCTAGAAAAGAAAAATGTACCATTTAACTATATAAATTTCAAAAATATCCTCAATTCTTAAAAGATAATTTTAATAAATAGACTGAAAGTAGGTGCAACTGTATTTAAAATGCAATAAAAGCTATTTGGATTTAATAGTGGCAGATCAATTAAAAAAGAATACTGTAATATATGACTACACTTCAAAGATATATTTGGATAAAAAAGTGTATCTTCTATTAAAAGGGATTTGTTATTAAAGGCATCTAAAACTAGAAAATGATAGCAGCCAGTGACCAAAAAAAAGTTCTTTCATGGCTCTTCCTTCTTAGTAAAAAAAAAAAAAAAAAAAAAGAAAGAAAGAATGCCTGCTATTATTGTCAGCAGATGATATATTTGGCAAGTAGCTTTAAATAAAGCTTTAAGCTACTGAAGAATGTTCCTAAATTTCACAATAATAGAGAGATGATAGAGAAAAGCAAAGGGAGATTCATCAATTTTCCTGCAACTAAATAAACGTTCTTAAGATTCTATAATTTCCATTGATACATCTGTCATGAAAGTACACTAAAAATTAATCTGTCCAGATCACAATAAAATAACAGCCAACTACATTTATACTAATGAGGGAAGGCAGATATAAAATATGAATATATTATAAAATTTCCATTAGCTTTAATTTTATTCAATAAATAATGGTGATACTAATTTCACTGCTTCCTTTTAGAATCATTTTGCTGCAGTTATAAAGGCATGGATTTTTTTATTGCATTTAATAAGCAAATTACTTAACTATTCCTTAAAAATACTTAACTTAAAAATCCTTAAAAATACTTAACTTAAAAATCCTTAAAAATACTTAACTATACCTTAAAAAATCATGAATGTATAAGATTCCAGAACAATAGGTTATAAAGTACTTAAAAGAGTTCCTAGAACTAATAGCTCAAAAAAAATTGACAGTATTTATTATAACGTTTCTTTCTCCTACATTAAAGAGGTACTATTAAAATATGAAATGTAAAAGAAAAGTTCAAAGCAACTTGGAGAATGTAACACAGAATCTAACAGTAGCTAGTAGATAACCAAGCTAGTATTTAATTAATTAATTATGCTTTCTCTACTTCTCATGAAAGTAAGTTGATTATTTCTATGTAAAAAAGTGATAATAAAGTTAATATAGCTGGGTGCGGTGGCACATGCCTGTAATCCCAGCAGCTCAGGAGGCTGAGGCAGGAGGATGGCAAGTTCAAGGCCAGGCTCAGCAATGGTGAGGCGCTAAGCAAATCAGTGAGACCCTGTCTCTAAATAAAATACAAAATAGGGCTCAGTGGGTGAGTGCCCCTGAATTCAATCCTCGGTACCAAAAAATAGTTAATATAAAATTTAAAAAACTGTTAAATACCTTTCCGTATGCTAAAGATTTTATTATGATGTAAGCCTAATTAGTATGTTTTCCATTTGCAATATGATATATATTACAAACAACATAAAAGCCTAATTTTAAAAATTTATTCTGTTTAGTTATACATGACAAGCTTACTGTTTTGATACCTGATTTGTATGCAAAGTCAGACCCATAATATGGTTATAATTAAGTTATAGCAGCAATAAAATAGAATTCCATGCCTCTTATTTCATCATTTATTTTGTATAGTTAAAAGTAATATATCTACCAAATGCATTACTAATTAGAACAATAAAAAGAAATTAACCATTTACTTAATACATCCAAGTTAAAGTCCCCAAATTACCTTAACTGTGTCATAAGCTCCAAAATAAGAGGCTCGGTACACAATGATGCCCTGAACTGAAACACCAAATCCTTGGTACAAGCCAACAATTCCATCTGATTTTGCTATTTTCATAATACAATCACCTAATCCCTTAAATTGTCGCTCTTCAGGACCTAAAATAAAGCCATTTAAAACTATTAGCAACATTATATATCAAATAAACATCTTAAAGTAAATTAAACATTTTATAGATTGAAATGATCTGAAACTAACAAGAAAGCATAAATCAAAATCCACCCATTCATGTAAGAATGATCAAGATTTCAAGTAGTTTTTTAAAAATAAATTAACTATTAGTCTCTTATAAGAATAATATAATTTAAGCAACCTGACTTAAGACATTTCATTAAAAATACCAGAAAATAGCAAGAGGCAAAAGGAATCTCAAGGATGTGAGTTATACATCTAACATAGAAAAGAACTATAATTCAGATAAAAATAAGGTGCAGGAAGGTACCTCTGGGAAAAAGTGGAACTATGTTACACAGTCTTTGTGTTCACTCTTCTGTTACAATAGACCTTCCCCTTCTCTCTTTCAAGGGGAATGGAAAAGTAGTACACTTTAGGTCCCCTGTCTAACCTTTGGAAGACAATAAAATCTGTAGACTATATCTGATAACACTGTTGATACAGCATGATTCTATAACAAGTAACATAATTCAAAACACAAAGAAGGAGTTAATATTTCTATAAATCCCATACCTTTTCCAATATCGACACCTAATCGGGTTCGGGCAAAATCTAGTGGATATACTACACATAAGGAAGTTGCCCCAGCAGCTCCACCAGAAGCCAGGTTTGCCATAAACCACCTCCAGAACTGAAACACATTAATTATTTTTAAATAATTTTTATTAAACTACAGAATCTGTTTAAAACAACTGGTGAACTCCTAATTTTATAAATGTTGAATAGATTTGTAAGCTGTTTTTATAAAATAAACATCTATAATAAAATATACTGCATTGTCCAAAAAATTTCTTATATCTATGTAGCCTTTTATTTTTATCTTTTAAATTTTGCTGTTCAGAGGACTGAACTTAAGGCCTTATGCCCTGTGCTGTGTTGAAGAGCTCTTGCCTAGCATGCCCAAGTCTCTAGATTTCATCCGCTGCACAAAAGAGAGGGAGGGACAACAGAAAGAATGACACATGGGTATGAAGAGTAATATTCTGGAGGTGTTATGTGTTATAGCTGGTTACTTTATAAAAGCAATTTGTAAATCTATTTTTAAACATTTATAAAACATAGCAAACACATACATGAAAAGCAGGTAATTAGAAAACTAGATGATAAAAGAAAAGTTTTATCTCTAAAGCTGTCTTTCTGGTTCAAATTCAAATAGAAGTGTTATCATTATAATTATTTTCTTTTTTCTGAGGTAATCTGAGTCAGTCTCTGCTTCCTAAAACCAAATAAGTGAAGCCAAACATGATATGCAGCATAAAGGTTTATGAAGTATATCTAGTATCAGACACATATGGAGACTTTATTTTTGCCCTTGTTTTGGGAGGGGTATTTGAGAATGCCCCAATTTCACTTTGTAATTAAGTTTGCACACCTCAAAAATACATTTAATTATGTTCAAATGATGACATGAAAATTGGCAAGTACCAATTATAACATAGTTGATGGGATGTAAGGGAACCTTATTGGTCTACAGGTTCACTTAAACTGTTGAGAAAGTGTAATTCATTTTGATAAACATTTAGAATGAGCCTGCCTCAGATCCAGAAAGCAGCTTTTCAATATTGAGGGCCTATAAGATATATCTAAATTGTATTACTATGGGAAAACTGCTAAATACATTAAAGTGAATAATATTCTAATCAAGTTCCATTGCCTTTTTTTTTTTTTTTTTTTTTTTTGGTGCTAGAGACTGAATCCAGGGGTGCTTAACCACTGAACAACATCCCCAGCCCTTTTTAATTTTGAGACAGGGTCATGCTAAGTTGCTAAAGGCCCTTGCTAAGTTGCTGAAGCTAGCTTTGAATTAGAATTCCTCCTGCCTCAGGCTCCTGAGCCTCTGGGATTACAGCTCAATTCTTGCTTTATTATCTTGCTCTTATTTCTAATAATATTTTAAAGTCTCAGATAGCTTTGGAATGCTTAGTTTTCTCTTAGCCTAGAATGTCCTTCCTCTTCTTTTTTAAAAAATATTTTTTAGTTGTACATGGACACAATATCCTTGTTTATTTATTTTCATGTGGTGTTGAGGATCTAACCCAGTGACTGACCTGTGCGAGGCAAGCGCTATGCCACTGAGCCAGAACCCCAGCCCTTTCCCGTTTTTTAAAAACAATTTTTTTTTGAGAGAAAGAGAATTTTTTAATATTTATTTTTTAGTTTTTGGTGGACACAACATCTTTATTTTATTTTTAAATATTTATTTATTTATTTATTTTAGTTTTTGGTGGACACGACATCTTTTTTTTTTATTTTTATGGGGTGCTGAGGATCAAACCCAGCGCCCCGCACATGCCAGGCGAGCGCGTTACCGCTTGAGCCACATCCCCAGCCCTTAAAAAATTTTTTAATGTTTATTTTTTAGTTATAACTGGACACAATATCTTTATTTTGTTTGTTTTTATGTGGTGCTGAGGATCGAACCCAGGTCCTCGCATGTGCTAGACGAGCGCTCTACTGCTGAGCTACAACCTTCCACCCCCTCTCATTCTTTTTAAACAAAAAATAATTATTGCTTCATAACTGAATTCAAGTTCTACATCTTTTAAGAAATCTCTCATCTCCAATCCCTCTGAAACTGTATATAATCATACCCTCTTCCCTTAAGTTTTTCATCTATCAGAATCAAAGGTGACTTATAGAACCAATAAATAAAATGTGTCAACATGTTCCAGACTTTCATTTTTAAAATAGTTCCTAAAGTCATTATTTTCAATTTATAATTATTTGCATACTTATATTTCAATTTATAATAGTGTACACTTATACTCCAATAAACTATTTCCTGAGGCCAGGATTAAATTTAATACCTTTGCTGAGATATAATTTATACTTCATACAATTTATGCATTTAAAGTACAATTCAACGAATTGTTAGTATATTCAGAGTTGTGTAACCATTATCAAAATTTTAAAACATTTTCATCACTCCAAAAGAAACCTCCTAACTGTTATATCACTCTACCTCCTCCCTACTTCCTGAGCCCTAGGTAACCATTCTGTCTGTATAGATTTGCCTATTCTGGACATTTCGTATGAATGGAATCACACTATATATAGTGCTTTGTGAGGGGCTTTTTTCGTTTGCCAATGCTTTCATTCATGTTGCAGCTTGTTTTAATACTTCATTCTGTTTTACTGCCAAATAATACTGTTATATGGATATATAATTTATTCATTCATCTGTCATCTGATAGACATTTGGGTTGTTTCCATTTCTGGAGATCAAGATTCTTAATTCAGCCATTTACTTCACAGACAAGTCATGGGGCTTTGCTCGGAGACATGCATTTAATAAATATTTAATGAAGTATAATGATAATGCCACTTACTGTTTCCACACTCCCATGGCTCATAGTAAGTTATATTCATCAGTTCTACTGTCTTTAAGTACCCATGTTTCATAATCATGGAAAGATAATTATATCAGGAGAATGCATGTGACACCGAGGTCACATGCATTCACAGAAACCTGGTAGAAAAAAATGAGCTGGGCTAGTTTCTTTCTTGGGAATATGACTTTAGAGATTCTATGCAAGTTAGCAATAAGAATATAAATGAAAAAGTTATTAATTTTCTTAGTATCTCAGGCTTCTTTGGCACTGTTGAAAGCTAAAGACAGACGTTCTCCTAAGAAAAATCATACATGTATAAACATACTTTTAGTGTGTTTTGGTTTCTAGAAGTATCCATGGATCCCAGGTTCAGAACCTCTGCTCTACAGAAAGTCCATAAGGCATCACTATGATATTAACCTTGAACTTAAAAGGAATAAAAAATACAGGTAAATAAAAAAGGAATAATATTAAGATAGAGCAAATATACACACAAAAAGAAAGTGATTAGTGAGAAAGTTAGACTAGGTAACTTGGGAGATAAAGAGAGTCCAGTTTGGTCCCTAGAGCTGCCTTTGTTTCAAACCCAAGTCTCGCAGTATCATTATAATAAATCCCTTTTCCCTTAAAACTGATAAGCTACTCTCTGCCTCTTAAAGCCAATAAGTCAAACCAAATATGATGTACAGCAAAAAGGCTTATGAAATAGATCTTAAGTTCTATTTAATTCTTTTCTATCCTTCCTAGATAAGAGAAAAAGATGGATCACTGACTCTTTTATTGGATAATCACATAATGTGTCATTCAAATCAGGACACATTCAATAGTGAAAGTGGGAGCTATGAAAAAATGACACAGGTAGAAAAAAATGACACATGTATTAACCTTAGAGCCAACTTACTGAGATCAGGAAGAAGGAAGCTAAGAGTAGAAAGACAGAAAGGAGAAAAGAAAAGGAGAGGAAAAAAGAACCTATTCATGCAGAATGGTGATACTTGGAAGTGTCTGTGTAAGAAATAAAACCTATCCCATCACATTAAGCTTGAAAATAAGATAAACACAGAAGGCAGTATAAATGCATTCCAGTTAACTATAAGTTAATAATTTAGATATCACTATACTGTAAATTCCTTCTGTTATTGACTTCTAGTTTCATACTATTATGGAAAAAAAACTGATACAATTTCTTTTTTGGTGGGTGGGTACTGGGGATTGAACTCGGGGGCACTCAACCACTGAGCCATATCCCCAGTCTATTTTTTGTATATCTTATTTAGAGAGAGGGTCTGAGTTGCTTAGCACCTCACCCTGCTGAAGCTCGCTTTGAACTTGTGATCATCCTGCCTCAGCCTCCGGAGCCACTGGGATTCCAGGTGAGTGCCACAGTGCCCAGCTCTGATACAGTTTCATATCCTTACGTTAATACATGCTTTGTGTCCTAAGATGATATATCCTGTAGCTGTTCCATGTGCACTTGTGTCTTCTGCTGCTGCAAGGATGGAATGTTCCATACATTTATGTTGGGTCCATTTGATCTAAAGTGAAGCTGAACTTCAATGCTTCCTTATTAATTTTCTATATAGAGGATCTTCCCATTGTTCAAAGTAGATTACTGAGATGATGCAGTTTTTGTCCTTCATTCTGTTGATATACTATATCACATTTATTGATTTGTGTACACTGAACCACCCTTGCATCCCTAGGATGAACCCAATTGATCATGGTGAAAAATCTTTTTAAAGTGTGGCTGGGTTTGGCTTGCTAATATTTTGTTGAATATTTTTACATATATGTTTATCAAGGGTATCCGCCTGTTGTTTTCTTTTTTTGTTATCTCTTTATTTTGGTTATCAAAGTAATGCTGGCCTCATAGAATGTGCTTGGAAGAATTCATTTATCTTCAGTTTGGGGGAGTAATTTAATAATTAGTTATTAGATCTCATTGCTTGACAAAAATCTTAAGAAACAATTTAAAGGAGGAAAGATTTGGGTGATTTGAGTCCATAGTTGGTTGACTCCATTCACTCTGGGCCTACAGTGAGGTGGTGACTGAGAAGCAAAATGGAGAGAACTGGGAACAATAATAGAGTTCCCAAGGACTCACTCCCTTCAAGTAGGTTCTATTTCCTACAGTTTTCACTATCTCCCAATAGTCTATCCAGCTGTAAATCCTGCAACAGATGAAATCATTGGTGAGGTCAGAGCCCTAGTAATCCAATCCCCAACCCTGATCATTTCTGCATTGGGAACCAAACCTTCCACTTTTGGGGAAATTCCAGATCCAAACCATAATAGTTTT